GGGCTACCCTATAAAGCTATTGAAATTTTTTTTAGTTATGACAGGTGTTATTCTACATTCACAATTATTAGCTACCATTATCTTAAGTTTAGCTTGATCGTTGCCATCTGTACAAGAACAAGAAATAAGAATCAGTTTCTATTGATTTAGTAAAAATATATATAAACTCATGAAACTTTGTATTTTGAAGTTTGGAGAGTGAAGGTGTATATTGGATTATTATTTCCCATCTATTGTTAATTTTATTCATATTGAAAATTCAATTTCATCAAAAAAAGCTAATGAATGGCAACTTTGAAATAAATAGGATGCTTTGAAATTTTCTCAATGAGTGTGTAATTACATATCCATTAAAATTCAATATGAAAGTGATCAATAAAATTTTGAATTGAATATCAATCACTATTTTGAAATTATACTACATAGAAAATCATTTTAGACTTAAATCAGACTTTTGTATCTGACTCATTGAATGAAAAATGTTATATCAAGCTTCATTATCATGCTAGCATAATGTATTCGTATATGTGCATGTTTTTATACAAATATTAAAAAAATTTTCATCTGACGGTTATTTTAGTTAAAAGAAAATTTTTTCATATGCTGGCTTAAGCTTCAGAGTACACAACATAACTTTATGTATACCTATGAAAGAATTCTTCAATCTTCGCACATAAAAGAATATGTATGTACAAGAGGACACGACAACGGCGAACGTTTACGTAAATCTCCCGCGTGTGTAACTCATCTGCCGAGGAAGCCCAGTTATACGGCCGTCGACGTTGTTTATGCTTTCCTGTGCAGCGCTTTCTGAAATATGCAAATCACGAATTCGCATAATGGTATTATCGCGATAGGAGAACGCGCGAGAGGACGTGCGGGTATATATGTACCTTTACTGCTTGGTTGTTGCCTCTTGTTTTCTGTGTCTTACTGCTCTTTCTCTCTAAATATATCTCTTCTACCTTATGTACATATTATGCATTTTATATATGCATGTCTATTTTTTTGGTGTGTTTTTCAAATAAACCTGAAACTATAAAAAATATATAAAATATTTATATAAAAAAAAAACAAAGTTAGTTCAATTTTTTAAAACAATTAATTCATGTTATGCCATTAAAATAATATTTCTTTAGTAAGGCATACAGTGAATAATTGAAACTCAGTGCATTATTATTTATGAAATGAAACTTTAATGATGTCAATTAAAATAAAAGTAGAGTTAGAAAAAGAGATAATAAAAATAGCTAAGTAAATAAAAAAAAAACTAAGACAATACTTGACGAATGAATTTTTCCTCTCGTGATATATATTCTGTGGTTTGCCCCTTTCTTTTTCGTAGAAACATTTTGCACACTTCGTTTTGAATGCGAAACGTCAAGTCGGTGAACACCAGGAGCTTCGCAGTGCGGTTTATTATCATTTTATTCAGATGTGGCTGGATGTACGTTGTGTGTTATGCCGAGCACACCCCCAAGAGATTATCTATTTCTCTCTTACTCCTTTACTGTGCATCGTCGACGTTGCTGTTTCATCCTCAGCCAACCACTGCCATCACCCCTTGGCTCCTTATCCATTGCAGCTTACTTTCTACGACGAGCTTCGCTTCTCTACACATAAAGTGTATTATCACTGCACCACAAAATCCTCCAACCTCTTCTGCGTTGAATTTAAGGCTTCCGTCGACATGGCCCCCCATAAATTTCTACATTTGAGACGATACTCTTCGTACTTTTATTTTTTCTCTTTAAAATTTATTCACTTTGTATCATTCGTAATACTTTCTTCTTCAACACTCTCTTTAAATGCGAATTTAATTTCATGATGAAAAATTTAATTTCTTTATAAATAAAAAACGAAATTAAAGTACTGAGAAAAGAGCAAATAGTTAAGAAGATGTAAAATAAACTAATTAACGAGCTCGTAAAAAATGTGAGAAAAAAAACACCCTCACAAGTTGAAGCATCGTCTCCAAAAAAACACCTCAAGAGGCCATCTAACAGTAAAAATATTCATTATCGCATTAAATTTTGTACACATGGTAAAGAAATTTTAACAAATTAGTTCCGACATCTATGAGGCATTATTGAAATGCTAACCTTTTAGAAAGTCGATATAATAATTTTTTGCCACAATGCATAATAAAGTTTTTTTTTTTTTTTTTTTTTTTTTAAAAATAAGTTATATCTATTAATAAATTTCTATTTCTCACATTTTCATGAAAGTGTGAAAGAAAAAATATTCAACTTGATATTTTTAGCAAGTAATTTTATTTAATCTACATTTTGAGAATATCTGAATGAAATAACAATCTCTCAATAGATGGAAACTCACAGAAATATATTTGTTATCTATTTTTTTATTAATAGTAATTACTATTTATAAGTTCGTAGAATATTTATTTTACAGATAATCAGTACTAAAATGTATATAAAACACTATCTTTCCAGCAGCTAGTCTGTTTCGCTTCAACAATTAATGGAAAAAATAAAAATCTTTACATCCTTGTTTATTGTCCGATAGAAAAATTATACATTTCATTATCATTTAAATATTTTTACGCAAACTAATTTTCTGTCTGAGATCAATAGCAAGGATTAATTATTTTTTTATTATATCTCATCAGATTTGAACAATAATCATTAGTCTTAAATATGAACAAAATTATTATTACTAGTATATTTTCTAGTATTACTATACATATACTTTTTTCAGTAAAATTTAGGCCAGATCAATTTATAATTTTTCACTCTTCTCTGTATAGAATCATATTCAGTCAATATGTGTAATAAAAGTGGAGTATAAATCTCATTCTTGTGCATTGAAAATAGAAAGTTAAAGTATTCTCAATATTGACAATCTTTTATTAATCATAGTAATGATTTCAATTTCGAAATTTTAATTTATCAATAATACTGAACTTGATGAAGTAACTCCAAGTATTTATTCATTCATTACATCAGAGTTAAAATATTCAAAGAATGTTTTTTTTTTATTTTTGCACAAAATGAATCTTAAATTCAATATTAATATTTAACAGTATTTTAATTGCTTTGTAACTCATGTAATGTTTCAGAGTGTGTTATTTTTCTTAAGATATTTTTAATTAATAAGATCAATCAATACACTCAATAATGTAGGCAATTTCAAAACACTTTCTATCACAGACAATTAACGTTTATGCGATTCTGGAAAAGTATACTGAAGGTGTATAAATTCATTCTATCAGAAATGACATTTTCATTGAGTTTCCTACGAAATTATGATTATACTCTCTATTTTGTATTAATAATTAAACTATTTAAATCCATTCAACTCTGTAACAATGATTAAGGATCCATTAACAACACCTTCAATGTACTACTAGTCATTTTCACGGACATAATATATATTAGGGATCAACATTTCTTTCATAATAAATATAAGTGTAGAAAAATAAATAAAAATTTAGAAAAACGGTTTATACATTTACTTTTTCATAAAAGTCAATCGCCTAAAGTACCTGTAACTTTTGATAGAAAATGACAAAATTGACGTAATGACTATTAAATCAATGCAGAAATATTGACTGAGTCTGAATTTACCTTTTTTTTGTTTGTTCACGCATTTAATCATTAAATTTTCTATCGACAGTTCTTTCTAAAAACTTTATATAGTTTTGAATCCATATTTATGCATTAATTTTTATAAAATTAAGTTAAATTTTATACTTCGTAAATTTACCAGTATCATTATAAATGAAAAAATTATTGAAAGAAATTTGAGATTAAACAATCAATAATTCTTCATCGTTAAGGACGTTAGTATAATTATGTTGAATTAGTGTTTTGAAAATGACAAGTCTTAAATTATTTATACACTATATACAAACTAACTTTATCTATACAAGTTTTAATTTAAAAGTTGTTACAAATTTTATCTTTTTTAAACTGTTATACAATATAATATAATCATTGTATTATACTGTAATAATAATAGTATTAATAAAAATAACAATCTTTATATAATTGAAAGAAAGGTACATAATATTTATATATGAATATAACTTCTTTCATAATAATTGCTTGATAGTTATTAATGGAATAGTTATTAATAATCACTGTTAATTTTTTACAGTATTTTTCTCTACATTAATACCATGTATAATACAATTTGTATACTTCAATATAACTATCGACATAGTTTAATATCATTAAACCATTTAATAAAATCATTTGTAATTATTTCAGTCATTTTCCTGGCATTCATTGCCGTATCAAAAAAATTGATATAAAAAAATTCTGTACTGCATTACCATAAAAATTTATTCAAACTCATTTAATCTGACAATACTATGCCAATTTAAAGTATTTATGACACTTTATATATAGAAATTTCCTATGTACTTTAATTTGAAATTTACTGGAAATATATAAATATTCTGACTTTCTTTTTATTTTGACGTATAAGTCAAGTAATTATTTATTTTGGATGGAATGCTGTCGTTTATAAGTTTTTTTAAAATATTTTTGATAATTTTCATTGCCTGTTTTCAAAACAAGCTTCATAAATTTTTGGAATGCACAGCTGACTATATATTGGCAAGGAATGAAATTTTTTGTATTAAATACTAATAATTATAAATCATTAGTGCCCTGGCAAGCGTTTTTAGTCTTTCAAAAGTCAAATTTGTGTATAAATATAACTGTGGAATGCGAATTGCTCGTCGTAAGTATTTAAATACTTTTAAAGTTTTATTTAAGAATTTTCAAGCCTTAAGGCTTAATTATTTATTAATAAATAAAGTTCAATAACTTTTTAAGTCTTCTATTAAATCTTATTTTCGAGATTAGATCTCTTAAAGCAAGTATACAAAATTTTAAGATATGCAATATTTACTCTTATAAAAATTTATTATTTAGTCAAGTTCAATGACTATTATATATAAATTCTTAGCATTACAAAATTTTTCAAATGTCTACTTCGTAGACCAAATATTTTTTTATTTCTGAGCTCAATCAAAAATATTTTTTAGTTCTATTGAATCTATTTTGTCTTATTGTATAAGAAAGTAATCTAATATAGGACTAACTAATTCTTTGATTTATTATTTAATTGAAATTTTGTTATTGTTATCGAATAAGTTTTAAATAAACATGTTTCTATTGCTTTAAAATATTTTGATTTGGTTAACTTCACGTTAAAAAAAAGTTTTTAACTTCTCTAAGTCTTCTTTTCATTTACATAGAATATGATTCATTTTTGTCGGTTTAAAAATAATTTTTTTTTTAGATAAAATTGCTTCTTATACAAGAATACCTCTCATTGATCATCTATCGAAATTTACACAATTTCTATAAAGCTGTGCTTTCAATCGGCGAATTAGAACGATTCGGTGGGCAACACTTATTAGGATTACAGCAAATGTCTTGTGCTTCGGCATTCTTTCTTAACTCTGAGACATCAATGTCATCAAAAAAATCACTTTTCATTGTTCCTACAGCACTATCTGTACAAAAACTATCTTGCCTACACAAATCAACACCTTTATAGCATTCCGAATAATTTACAAGTGGATTTGATGATAATTTAAAATCATTCGAATACTCAAAGTCTAAATTTTCTCTCCGCAAAGATGGTCTCATGTATGAGTTGTCTTGTTGAGATTCACATGTATAATCAACATTTTTACTACTCGAGTATATATCATTTTTAAGATGGCTATCAGTGGAACAAGAACTATCGGTTCTATATAAATGAGTTTGTTTCAAAGTACTTAGGTCAGATCCAAAGCTATCCTGTCTATCAAGTAAATCTGCTGTAGGTTTTTCGTAAGAAGTTAGTGATTCAGCCAAATTTTGTTTTGGAAATACGTCAGATACTGCAAGACTTACATGTCTAGATAAAATACTACCAATACTTGAAGCCACACTATCTTGCCTCATCAATTGGTTTTCTACTGCATCTTTAATCGTATCACGAAATGAATCCCTCATGCCTAGTCTTTGCTTGTCACATTCTTTCACATGGAGGTCTTGCTCATGAGATACTTTGTCACTAGAAGGGTCAGCTTGTCTGCAAAATGCGTTCTTAGTTTGCTCTTTTGTCGGAGAGATTTTCATTCTTCTTAGATAAGATCCTGTGCTCTTTGGAGTTTCTTTTAATCCCTTTTTACTGTCGCTTGTTGAAATAACGTTATTCTGCCATCCAAGAGACTTATTGCTTTTCTCTATTGAATTTTTTAGCTTGCTAATCTGTTTAAAATACGTTCCAACAAATCCACCTGCTTCTGGGGATTTCCAAGACTTATCTACTAAGGTAGAATTATCAGGAGTCTCCGGATTTTTTCCAACATGTTTTGTACTTGATACTGAATTTACTTTGTATGAATTTTTATTATCGACATTGTAGAGTTCGGAGGGAGGAGATTCAAAGTTTTCTCCAGGGTTTGAATTACCAACATACCTTATTTTTTCAATGAAAGGTACCTTAATTTGAACTGGAGATTTACCAATTCCACCACGTGTCCCACTTTTACAAAACTTGGAATCTCTTTTATTTCCATTTCCATTCTCATCTGTTTTAGTCACTGTCACAGGAGCTTCACCAGAATCTTTTGAGTGTGTTTGAGTTCGTAAAAAACGACCACTAAATCCACTGGAGTCTGGGGAAATGATAATACTTGGTTTTTCAGATTCTGCATTGTCCTTTGACCTAGAATTTTGTCTTGAATACTTTCCTGTGCTCGGTAATCCATCAGAATTTTGCCTCGAGTATCTATTCTGTCTTACAGAATCTGAACTTTGAAAATTGTCCGAAGTATCGTCTATCTCTCGTTCTAATGTACTATCTTCACAACAATTACGTTTTTTTTCTGAATGTATAGCACCTTCTCTAATGGGTTTTAGCTGTGGCCCTAATGTTTCTGGCGTCGTTGATTCACTGCTGCTCGGACTGGGACCCGTATAATGCCTAATATCGAAATCCAGATCTGGTGAAAGAGGAGCACCAACCGATAGGTGCATTGCTAGACCTTCTAGCCATACTTCCATTACTTCAAATGGCGGTCGTTTATCTGGATTAAGATCACAGCATAAAAAAGCAATCATGTAAAATGTTTCTGGGCAATTTGCGCAAAATTTTTCTCTGAAAGCTTTCTGATTTAATCCAAAATCTGAAGAACGCGGAAGATAGTCTGGATCTGCTTGAACACGCCCAATTATTTCGCAGACAACAATTCCAAAACTAAAAATATCGACTTTTTCATCATACTTATTTCCTTTCATCATTTCTGGAGCCATCCAGTAAGGATTTCCTACCACTGTATATCTTTTCTTCCTTTCTTTTCGAGAACATCGCGTTTCACCATCAGTAACCCCACTATATTTTCGTTTATCCGGTGAATTCCCATTCTGAATTATCCTTGCTAAACCAAAATCAGCAACAACCACTGTTTTGTCTTCACGAACAAGACAATTATGTGAATTCAGGTCTCGATGTATTATATTCATTGAATGAAGATAGGCCATACCAGCAGCTATGTCTTTAGCAAAAGAAGTCCTCTGTTCCCATGGTAGAGGTACATTCGAATCATGAAGAAGTCCTCTTAATGTTCCACCTGCGATATATTCTGTTACCAAATGTAATTTTTTATCTTTGTAAAGTACACCAATAAACCTCAAGACATTATTATGGTGAAGAGAACGAAGTACTGCGACTTCCTTTAAAAAGTTCTTCTGAGCTTCTTCATCAACTCGATATAATTCTTTAAGCACCATCACCTCATTCGTCTCTCGATGTGTAACTTTATATACCTGTCCGAAAAACCCTTTTCCCAACAACTCACCCTTCACTAAATCACTCGCACGAAAAATCCTTTGGCTTTTTGCAGAATGGTCTAGTTCAACACGGAATGATCTCGTTCGACTTAAGTCACAAGTAGAGCTCGGTGGTGGCGTGCTAAAATAAATCGTTAAACACCATATCATGAGTAATTGACATAACTTAACATTGATTCATATACAATGAAAAATATAAAATTATTAACAAATCATTACCAATCTAACAATCTCGACATCGAACTACTCCGTTCTTTATTTGTCGGATCTTTTGATCTCTTCAATTGACGACTTCGATTTCCACTAATATAGCTTTCGTCTCGACGTTTGAATAATCGTTCTCTACTTTCAGGGCTTGTTTTAGGGCTGATAGCAGTCGAAAGAATAACTGGCGTTGAGGAAAAATTTGTTCGTCGAGATAATGCATCTGGATCATGCTCTATTGTTAACTGAAAACCCATTAATTAAAAATGAGGCATATATCTTCGTAATTGAGTATATTAATAATTTTGTTATAGATCTATTAAATGATTTTATTAACATCGTATATATTTAATTTGACACTTTTTATTACTTTTATCCCCTCAGTAGTATGACTCATATCAATGTCATTTCGAGGGCTAAATGTGTAATAAGTTTCGCCGACATCAACAAAGTTGATAAAAGCTAACATGTTTTCGTAATCTCAAGATATTCTTTTTAGAATATTAAATTTATTGCCCATTTATACTGACCTGTAAAACTGAATCAGAATATTTAATTAAATTTTCAATATTTTCCACAGGCTGATCTTTAACTGGAGTTCCATTTATTTCCAATATTCGATCTCCAATATGTAAAGACATCAATTCTCCAGACATATTAAGCCTAAAAAAATTAGAAAAAAAATAAGTTCATCCCATTAAAGAAATAAAATCTCAACTAAAAATATATATTTCTACTATCTAATTCCCAAGGTAATATTTCTTTCATTTCTTAGCAAGCTATTGATTGGTATAAAAGGTAAAATAAAAATCAACATGTTTGAAAGTTAAACAAGAAAATAAAACTGACTACTCGCGCGTGAGGTGAATACACCTAAAACATAACTATTTTTCTAGGATAACATAAATGCTACGTGAATGATTACGGTTATTTCGTGCACACTTATTTATTCGACATTAATACCTATTATTAAAGAATCTGCAGCATAGACTAAATAGAACCTCCACCATAGAGGCCATCAGCTTATTGATCTTTCCCCGAATGTTTTGTATTAACCTGTAGTTGTCAATTAAATAATCAATGAAAGATCTTTATGAATATTCACATAAACTCTTAAATATTCCCTGACAATACTTTTTAAAAAATATACGACATTATAATGGCTTCTAACTTATTTTTTCTTATCTATCGATTGTGAACTAGATTTTTATTATCATGAGTTCTTATCTTAAAAACATTTAAGAGTTTTGTGTTTATTTTCACACTATTTTGGCCACATTTATTTTTCGAAAGTAATGGTAATATTTTTAAACGACTAGATATAATTCTGTTTAGTTAAAAGAACGTTATGTTATAACTTAATAATGAACTTACTCTGAGATTCGTAAAAGACCACATCCACAATTGTGAGGACTTGGTGTGGTATCCAATGTAAGCTTTATTCCTCTTTGTTTTTCTGGATCTTTAGTGCTTGGTGGAATTTCTACAAGTCTTATGCTATGAGGTTTTCTAACAAACGGATAATTTGTTGTTCTATTAAGAGGTTGCATTTGACGTTTGTAGCAGACACCACAGTAGAGTTTAGATCTTTCAACGAGTGCATAACTCTCGCCATCACCAATAAAAGCTCCACAAGAAGTACAAACAAAACATTCTGGATGAAATTTGTGTTCTCCAGCCAACATAACTGGTCCTGTAATAACTTGACCACAACTTTGGCAAGCTTCTCCATATGCTGCCCAATAATCATCTTTACAAAATAATAATCCATCTTTTTCGAAGTACCAGGATGACAGAGAAGCGTCACAAGCTGAACATCTAAAAAAATATTAAAAATTCATTATCATACATACAATAGATTGATAGTTTTATAATTCAATATAAAAATAAATTTAACAAGATTGAAGATAAAAAAAAATTCTTACTGAAAACAATCGATATGCCATTCTTGGTTGAGAGCTTGAATAAACTCATCTTCTTCAATGGCATTCAAACATCCAGCACAAATTAATGGTCCTCCTTCTCCACCACCGGGATCTTTTAACAAAAAATGGATTCAATTAGTATAACAAATTTAAAAATCATTACCGAATATGTTATAGATTCAAAGTACAATAATTTTGGTAATTATTATACTAAATTATTACTTATAAATTATTTGTTAGGTTCAATTTTATCAGATTTAGGTCAATAGCAAGAATTGATAGTTTATTTAATTAGTTTGGAAAAATTAAACTAATTACATATTTGTTTGTTTTTTTATCTAAGTTTGTAGTAATGAAATTGTTAATTGAATCAAGACGTCATTTTTCTAAAAACAATACCAATGACTTTTCCTTGTAATATTAAACTTTTTACCGATTTCATAAATATTATCGTGTTCGCTTCCCAGATGCATTTCTAAAACATTTCTGGAAAAATAAACGAGTGAATCACTTAACAATGAAAGCTGATGGTTGACACAAAACTAAAACAAACCAAGATTGCTAAGAAAAAAAAAGTTGGCACATTTTTTCATCATTATTCGAGTAGAATTATAACTTTGATTCTATTTCTCATAGATCAAAGCGTTAAAATGAAGAAATGTGATAATATTCCAAGACGAAACAATCTTGGAAGGACACGACGCCCACGCGATCATGCACGAGACCATCCAGACGATGTCAAGTTGCTGAGAATGGTTTAAAGTGCTTGATAAATCACAATTTTGCATGTTAAGAAAAACAACCACATCTCTGCACAAATATTGTCTATTGAACAAAATGTGATTAATAACAACAAAAATAACACACATACCGTTTGCAGTGACTTCATCCATCACGCATCTAGATTCACCACAGAGATTTGTGTACTCCCACTACCCTTGTGCTGTACATCACAGGTAATACGTACACCCACGATCAGCAGCTTCAACAGACTGACGTTTCAGCCATTATGGCTCTCGCTTTCTTAGAAGAGAGAGAGGGTTTCCAGTGAACGAGATATCGAACCTGTTTTATTTCTATACTATCGATGTACATACTCCAAATTCTATGTATTTTCAATAGAGCCAATGCTATAATTTTGTTTAAAGTAATTCAGCTATAAATTAATTTTGTTCACATTTATTAAAACTTGTATGCAAACTTTGTATTTTTTTCTTGAATAATTTACCATTAATCATCCATAAAACATGTATTTAAACCGTATTTTACACAGAATTTACGTAAATAATTTAATTAGATCTAATATTTATAAACAATTATTTAATCCATGGTTTTTGTTTTGTTTTGAGCTTCATTCAATAAATTAAAAATTATAATGCTTCAAAATTACATCGCTATGGAATTTTCAAACATTTCCTGGTCAATTGGGAAAACTTATGTATTATTGCAATAAATTTTTAAAAGCATTTATAAACAAAGCTATTTGTAAAAAAATTTATTTGGGTTAAAAAAGTATTTTGATAAGAATTACATAGATGACACTACTTTAATTTTCTGATTAAAATTTTTAAATGTATAAAATTTAAACATGATCAGAAAAGAGAGACATGAACACATCTGTTTCTCTGATATGATCAAATCAAAATTAATTATCATTCAAATGCTTTAAAATAATACAAAAACTATTTACAAGATTAATATTAATTAAAGTTTTGTAAGTTTAAAGTAAAAATTCATATTTTTATAAATAATTGTTGATTGTAAGTTTTATTTTTTTTTATATAAATTCGTTTACACAATGAGCTATATGTTTCTATTACATGAAAAAGATAAAACAAAAGTATTTTAATAGAAAAAAATGAATTCATCAGGCTGTTAAGTAGTTTATACTTTATTTACTGTATTCTCATTTTGTAGATAAACAGAATTCCTATGGAGGCAGTTCAAATTCGATAAAACTGGCAATTTGTTTTCCTTGCTAATTTGAAGACTTCGATTCTTTTGCACTCTGCAAGCTTTGAGTAATATATAATTTTGCTAAGCTCTGTGCACAGAATTGAGAAATATGTTGACTGTAAGTGTTGATTTGACCAGCAACAATCATAGGGTTGAGTCTTGGAGGTACAGGGAGAGGACGCATAAGTTTATTAATGTCATCATCAGGTAGAGGAGGTTCATCCTTAGCTGCACGTGCAGCATTTTCTTGAGCTCTCTTAGTCAGTAGACGATTTTTGTCTTGTTGTTGACGTATAACAAGATGTTGATACCTATTAAATTTAATGGCTTCTTGGTTAAGTTCATCAACACGGTCCATCAAACACCTGAGTTGGTTTTCAAGAACTGATGCTGTTCCAAGATCTAGATATTTTGTACCTTCTTCTTCAGGGATTAATTCCTCCAGTTCTGACATCATAATATTTGTTAAAATACTGTTTTTTATAACAATTGGCATTTCTACGAATAAACGTTCATAGCCAATCTTTAAAGAGCGTAAAGCTTCTGGGGTAAATTCTCCTTCTTTGTACATTTGAATAGCTTCAGGAGTTAGACGGAAAGCTTTAAGAGTCAAAAATCCCCTGGCGGACTTGGCAGTATCATAAATTACAACTACTGATTCTTCAATTGATGTCTGATAGTGATACTGCGATTCTAAGAGTGAAACACTCAAAAAGTTTCCAACATCAGCACTTTGATACCATCCAACATGGAAATGATCAACGTTCACTCTGTAAAAATATTTAATTTAATTTAAAGAAGTTGATTTTGAAAAAAAAATAAATTGTTAATTCAATAAAAAATCAAAAAACCTGCGAAGTCGACGCATCACTGCTAGTTGATATTCTTCTTCCTCCATGATTTCATCGTTTTTTGGGAAAGGAAAACAGTTTGTTATTTCTAAACGATTCTGAACTACCAAACCAAGGAGAGCTCCTTGGGCAACTTCCATGTTGCTCATAGATTCTTCATGGCAATGTTTGATGATTTTCATTGCTGCAAGTCCATCACATTGCACGTAATCAATACGTGATTCTAACTCCGTAATTCTTCTCATGTTGTTTCTTGACATGATTTGTTCGTTCTATTAAACTCTAAAAATTCTTTTATTTATATTATGGCAAGTGAATACAATTATATATTACTGGAATAATATGAAATAGTAAAACCAACGTGCTGTCAAAGAGGTTAGAATTGAGTTATCAAACTTACCGGATTCGATAATTTAATAGATGATTATTCAAATGAATAATTTACACTTCACTCGAAAAATAATATGTAGAATGAAAAACTGATCAGATAAAATATTAAGGATTATTATTTATAATCAAATGTAATTAGAAAATATTAAGGACCCAATTTATGGTCGAAATGGATCCTACAATACGCAATCGTTCGCCTAGTGACAGCTATGAGAATTAATTTTTTTGGCAATAAAAACAATTGTTTAAATTTTAACAATTGTTAAATTGAAAATAATTATCTTATAAATTCTTTATTTAATTTATTTAAAAAAATTGGCTGAATTTTCATCATTCAAGTTATTTTTATATTTTTATTGTTATCATCAATGGACTATACGTCGATGTATAGTATTCAGAAGAAGTCTCCTGTCTTCTACTCCATTTCTATCTCTCCCTACAGAGAAAGACAACAAAAATTTGTAGTTGCTTCTCAACTGTTTTAATCACGTTTTAACGTTTATAAAGTTTAACAAAAGTGAATTAAATAATGGCATCAATCAGTTTATTAAATCCAAAAGCTGAAGTCGCGAGGGCTGCTCAAGCTTTAGCCGTTAATATTTCTGGAGCTAAAGGAATTCAAGATGTAATGAAAACTAACCTCGGTCCGAAGGGGACTATGAAAATGTAAGATCTCACGTGCATAAATTATTTAATTAATAATGATTCTGTTGAATCTATCTTAAAAACGATAATTAAGCTAAAATATATAATTATAAATACACTCCTAGTTTATAAAATATCAATAGATTAAATATTATTTTAGTCTGCTTAAACGACGTTATTTATTAACCTTATATGGTCATGTCATTTCTCATTACCGGCACGCCTCCTTTTTTATATTAATCATATAAACTCATAAATTTTAATTTTAATAGTTACTAAATTATTAATAATTATTTTAGGCTAGTCTCTGGTGCTGGAGACATTAAAATTACTAAGGATGGAAATGTTTTATTGCATGAAATGGCAATTCAACATCCAACTGCATCCTTAATTGCGAGAGCATCTACTGCTCAAGATGATATGACTGGAGATGGTACAACTAGTACTGTTCTTGTTATTGGAGAGCTGCTCAAACAAGCAGATTTATATATTTCTGAAGGATTACATCCACGATTATTAACAGAAGGTTTTGATCTCGCAAGAGCCAAAACTTTGGAAGTGTTAGATTCTTTGAAAATTCCAGTTGAACCAACTAAAGAAGGATTAACAGAAGTTGCTCGTACATCTTTACGGACAAAGATTCATGCTAGTTTAGCAGACAAACTTACCGATGTATGTGTTAATGCTGTTCTTGCTATCAGACAAGGAGATCCATCCATTGATCTCCACATGATCGAAATCATGGAAATGCAACATAGAACTGCTGCTGATACCACTTTAATTCGTGGTATTGTCATGGATCACGGTTCTAGACATCCTGACATGCCCAAACGACTCGAAAATGCATACATTCTTACATGCAATGTCAGCTTGGAATATGAAAAAACTGAAGTAAATAGCGGATTCTTTTACAAGAGCGCTGAAGAACGCGAGAAATTAGTCGCTGCTGAACGAGAATTTATTGAAAATCGTGTAAAAAAAATTATTGATTTGAAGAAGAAGCTTTGTGATGGTACTAACAAGTCCTTCGTTGTAATTAATCAAAAAGGAATTGACCCTCCATCATTAGAAGCACTTGCTAAAGAAGGAATAATGGCTTTGCGACGTGCAAAACGTAGGAATATGGAGCGTCTCACTCTTGCTTGTGGTGGAGTAGCTATGAATTCCGTCGATGATCTCCAAGAAGAATATCTTGGATGGGCAGGACTTGTTTATGAACATGTTCTTGGAGAGAATAAATATACATTCGTTGAATCATGTAAAAAACCAACTTCAGTAACAATCTTATTGAAAGGGCCTAATAAATATACTTTAGTACAACTAAAAGATGCTGTTCGTGATGGTCTTCGAGCAATTAAGAATGCTATTGATGATAAAGCTGTTATTCCTGGAGCTGGAGCATTTGAAGTTACTGCCAGCCGTGCTCTCGCTAAATACAAAGAAGAAGTAAAAGGGAAATTACGTCTTGGAGTTCAAGCTTATAGCGATGCTCTTCTTGTCATTCCAAAAACACTTGGTAAGAGTCTAAAAATTACTTGTCAGAATTTATAAATAATGTAAATAGTATTTAGAATTATTAATCATTTTAATTTCTTTTAATATAGCAATTAATAGTGGCTTTGACGCTCAATATTCAATTGTAAAACTTCTTGAGGAAACCGCTGCTCTTGAAGAACCTGTTGGTTTAGATATCAACTCTGGCGAAGCTATTAAACCTAGCGATGCTGGTATTTATGATAATTATGTAGTGAAAAAACAAATTATCAATTCTTGGTAAGCATTATTTATATGAGTATGTATTTATGTATTTTATTCTTGATAACTAATTAAAATTATTTGTTTCAGTACTGTTATTGCAAGTAATCTTTTGTTGGTGGATGAAATAATGAGAGCCGGTCTTTCATCTTTGAAAGGATAAATTAAACTACTTTGATATTCATCAACCTTAAATTAATGAACAATCACATTAATATTTTTTGTTTAATTATTATGTTGTGTCAAACACTTTGTAATGCCTTCGCTTAAACCTAACGAATATCTCTAATACTATAAAATAAAGCACATATTACATTTTCATTTTAATGAGTTTTTTTTATAAAATTAAAAAGAGCTGTCTTATTGATAAATATAAAATAACTACAACAACAAGAATTATTAAAATGAAAATTCATTTTTATTGTTTATTATAAAAAATTATATAATTTTATTTCATCAAATATTGAGATACTAAAGTACTTATTTCATTCAAGAAACTTGATAATAACCATTTTTCGCTTTTTAATTTAACTTAATAAAGCGAAAAAGAATTTCCTCCTCAATACACACAGATGATCTAAAAAACGAGATGACTAATATCTTGTATTGACTAAAACCAGTCGAATAACATTTTGTGTAGATTTTTTCGTTTTGAAAATAAAATTGATGCATTATTTTGGTATTTCAAAATACAAGAAGTTTTGTACAAAAATCAAAAATATCTTTTAATAATATTTTCATTAGTTTACACTATGTACATATGAGACAGTCTCAGTCTTCATTTTTCGAGCCAAGTTTTGATCTAAAACAATTTTTTTCTGACCACCATAAAAATAAGTTATAGAGGATTCTATAATTCTTTTAAGACATTTTACATAATCTTTCACACAAGCTTTTGTTGCAGATGTATATATATATATATATATATATATATACATGAGTATTAATGACAAAAAAATGGTTTTTAGTTAATTAAATTAGTCTTAATAGTTTAAAAACATTTGTCCAGACAACACATCTCAACAAACAAAACCAAACAAAACATAATTAATATCTAAACCTGGCTCATCTTAAGTTCAAAGTATTAAATAAGTATGACAAATAAATAATAAATGAAATGAATTAATTATAAATGAACATTGATATATTTTGGTTACTATGATACTGAGGGGAAGTTTGTAGCTTTTTTTATATCCTTTAATACCACACGAGGTTCTATATTAATTATTTGCGCTAAATGTGTACATTTCACTTTCATTCGCGCACTACCAACAGCCATTGTGGTATTCAAATTTGACAAGTCAACTTCTTCTTTTGGAATACCATAATAGCTAAATCCAACCAAAGATGCAGTCGGACCCACACTTTCAACATTATTGTCGGTATCACCAATTTCAAAGACAATACCTGGAGGATATCTTGGTAATGGATTAGTTGATTTTCTAGCAACTGCTTTAATGGAAGTAGCAATAGGTTTAACTATTTGTTTGGTTGTTGATTTTTTAGCAACTCCAAGGTTTCTAAAAATATCATTCGAAGGTGGAGGAACATCAGTAGAAGGAGGAAAATGTTCAGTAAAATCAGTTTCAGAAACACCAGCCATCAATGCATCAAGATTCGATACGAATCCTTCAATATTTGTAGACAATCCTGGGTGTTCTTTTGTGCTGTGCTGAGTAACTAAAGCAAATGAAGAGAAACATTGATCGCATCTTTTGCATTTGTATTTGTCATAATGCTTCGACACATGAGTTTTCATTTTCATTAGAGAAACACTGACAAATTTACATACAGGACAAACATATCCTTTCTGAACCATTGGAATTTCATGTTTTATTTTAAATGAAAATAGAAGATGTGAATGGAACATATTGTGATGAGCATTTCGTGATTGTGTTTCACAAACTTCATTACACCATTGGCAAACCCAGATATCACGTGATCTGTCTGTAGCTTCAACAAATTTAAGTGGCAAATTCCTATGTTTTGATTTACAATGATTTCGTAATTGACTCAAAGATCCTCTTTTTTGACAATATCCACATTTTACTAATTTTGGATTTGCTGATATTTTTACAGGAATTTCTTTATATCTAAAAGGAACACCAGTTTTTACTTTAGAATTGGAATTGAGATCTTTATGAATGGTACTCCAGTGTGTTTTAACAGATTCTAAAGAAGTAGTGCGTAAATTACAATAAAAACATCCAAAAACGATATGAGTATCAACATTTTCAATGATAGGTTCAATAGATTCTTCTTCAATATCTTTACTATAATCTTCATTATTGCTTTTTGAATACACATGTACTGAAGGACTTTCTGATGATCCTGGTGAAGGAATCTCTTCAGCTTTCCACTCTGATAGTGGATGATTTATTTCTGAATGCTGCCAAACATCTGATGTTGAATTAGCTGTAAAACTGCAATATACGCATTTCAATGTATGTTTATTAGCATGAGCTCTCATATGAGCTTTCAATCCAGTAAAGTTCATAGCAGTAAATCCACAAATTTTACAAATATCTGATGTTCCGACTTTTTCTAGATTATCTACAGCATCTTCAGTAGAGCTTGACTTACATTTTCGCTTCTTTGTTTTTTTAGGAAGTACTAGCCCATATTCTTTTTCCCAAAATTCATCTGAAAGATCAGGACCACCAGCTGCAGGATTATGAATTATTTCTTCTGGACATCCTGGATGTTTCGCTCGAATATGTTGACTCATCATTCCTTCAGAATTTGTACTTCTATCGCAATAAGGACATAAGAATCCAAGACGTTTAAGATGATTAATTTGAATGTGTAGCTTGAAGCCACGCCATCGACTAAATTTCGTGTTACAGTGCTTACAAACGTAAGTTTGTCCAGGTTCTTTTACTTCGTTTGCAGATACTGGGTTAGATTTATCTACAGGCTTATCAATTTCTTCTACTACATCTTCTCTACTATCAATTATAAGAGCATCGCCATCATCATCATCATCTTCTTCTTGATCATCCTCCATACTGACATCAGGCTCAACATTCACCTTTATTTTATTCACACTTGGCATATTTGTGATCGTTTCAGTAAGATCAGCAGTTTTTACAACAGTGGAAGAAGTAATAGTTGAAGAAGGTATGACAGGAATTTCAGAGTTGTTAGAAATTATTGTTGAATCAACTTTAGATGGTGAAGGTTTAGAAGAGTTAGTTGGTAATGTACTTGGTGATAATTTAGTTAACTTTGATTCAGGACTTGATAAAATATCATCCGAAATTCCTCGCATCATTGCCCACTGTTTTCGCAAGAAATTGTGTACCTGAAAGACAAAAAGCAATAATTTTAATGTAAACTTTCGTTAAATTTGTCTCTAAAATTCAATTAATTTTCAGTAACTTCAAAGTATTTGATCGACCGGCAAACAACTGATTCAAATATTCTTAAGATGTCACTCACGAAAAATTTATACATATATATTGATAAAAAATATTTAATATAAACATATAATAATAATGTAATGAGCGCACGCGCATGTGTTCATGAGACCTCTATAATTATTTTGAATAGTTAATAGGAAATAGATTTATGGTTTAATAAAATTTTCCGATAATCTTTATGACAGGATAAATGATTTCAGCTGCTAGACAATGTTATTGAACCATCACGAAATACATGATAATCGATACTTCAATTAACATATTTAAAAATATCTAATGGAATACAGTATTTAATTGACTTATGTCACTTACCCAAGCTTCGATTTGTGGATTACTTTTAATAGCTACAACATCTGGTTTTTCATTTTTATGCTGTCTGTTCACATGTTTAGTTATTTGTGCTTGAGAAATAGTTAAATATCCGCAGGTTTTGCAATGCCATCGCCAGTATTTAAGGTCTCGGTATAGATGTTCTTTTATATCCTGTCGGAATTTCGATTTATAATCAGGACAAAGTGAGCAAACATAGTACATTGAATCTGGCTTTCCATAAAATTCAGCATCTAAAGAATCTAAATCTTCAGCGCTATTTTTCTTGAAATGATCTTCCAATTTTTGTTTTATATCTTCTTTTAATTCACTTGAACCATCAGGAGTGGCACTCTTTACATCAGTTTTAGTTTTACCTTCATTCGAACCGGTTCCATCCATCGATTTCGTTTTGATCATTTTACTTGGCTTCGAAGTTAATTCTAATTCACTCTTACGTTTTGTTGCTTTCACAGAAGTCTCAGTTGCAGATACTTCAGTTTCATCTTCTAAAAGTATTCCCCGAATGTGTCGAATTCTAGGCATATCTCTACGCCACAAAGGAGTGGTATCAAAAGGTTCATCAGGAGTAGATTGCTCTAGATTTTCAATTCCTTTTCTTGGTCCTTTAATTCGTTCAAAAACCAATGTATAATCAATGTCTTCAACGTTCAAATGCTTCGCAATAATATGTTGCTCTAAACTCATTCTTGCTGTAGTTTTAAATGGACAACCTGAACACTTAAATTGGGCCTTCTCATTGTGTACTGACAAAGCGTGAGAAACCATTTCAGATTTATAAACACACTTATAATCACAAATATTACATTTCCAATAATTTCCATCCTTGTCAGCAGGTCCGTCCTCATTATCTTCTGCTGTAGTTGATTGTTGTGTATTTTCTGGAGTAACTATTTCTCGTATTACTTTTACGAAAGGTCTTTTTTCCGGATGTTTGTCTGTTAAATGACGTTCAACAACGTATCTGTTTAAAAATAAGAAAAAATTATCAAATAACTTTTACAAATTACAATAATATTATATTTTAATCAAATATAACATTTATATGGTGAATAATTGCAGTGAGCAGTGAATATATTGATAATGTGAAAATGAGAAAAATATATCTTAACTGAGTCGATATATCGTTGTATAAACGTTGAATAAGAATGCCGATTATTTTTTATGAAGGCGATGAATGTGATACAAGTGATAACAAACCTATGATAATGATGATAATTGCAGTGAGAACATTTGTATAATCTGGTGTCGTGAATTTTTAAGTGCACACCCATTTTGTCAATTGGTATATTTCTCGACTCTTGCCCGGGCAATGGTGCAGGACAGTGAGGACATCGAAAACATTGTTCTTCTGAATGCAAGGCTTTCAAATGACACCGCAACATTGTTTCATCCACGGTAAGATAATTACATTCTGGGACGCTGCAGACATACCTGAAAAATAATTGAGGAAATTATATAAAACCTCAGGGATATTATTAGAACTCTCATTAACTTTCTCAAGTATTCAAATACCTTTTATGTTCTGGGACGTATTTTGGCAGTGATTCAATTTCACTCGGTGTCACAGCTTCTTTTGATACTCCACCCATGCGTCCATTTTGATGAGAACTACTAGCTAAATTAACCATTTTATCAAACATTCTTTCTTTTTTATCTAAACAGGGAACTGGATTGACTGGACCAGATTCAGGCACTGTTTCATCTTTGGCGTGACGTTGCAAATGTCGGATTATATTTGAACGAACTTTATTAGTATATTTGCAAATCGCACATTGGACCTCACGATTATAAACTGCTTGGCGAGGTAAAGAATCTATTTCCGAAGGGCTATAACTTACTTTATCTTCCGTTATAAATCCCTTAGTAATGATTTTCATACCTTTTTTCCCTCGAATTTTGACAATACTTGTTTTCTGTAATATCAAAATCCAGTATGAACTTCATAATTATTTTTATTTTACTTCACTTATATAATAAAAAAAAATACTTACAAGAGGATGAATGATAAAAAGACCATTTTCTGAAGGATTAGAAGGATCTGCTGGTATCATTTTAACGGAGCCAACCTTGTGTTTCATTTTCATATGATTTGAAGCTTGATATGACATTGCGCATCGATATTTACATAATGAACAACCAAAACGTTTCAGTCCATGTATTTTAAAATGTTCCAATAAGTAACCAACTTTGACGAACTTTTTATTACAATGTGGACAGCTTACTTCTTTCTTTTCATTAGCAAAATTGCAGTCTTTAATATGAATCTTTAAACAAGAAGGTGTTTCTGTGTTGAAATCACATCCTGGATAGCCACATTTATAAAGATTATTTCCATCTAGTCCTGTATCCTTGATGTCTTCTAAAGTTTTTGGCTGAACTATATCTTCAACAGGCTTAGTTTCAGTTTGAATATTACTTTCACTGGTTTGCTTCAAGGATTCTGTATCATTACTAGGTGTGTCTACAGTGGACTTATCCATTTTTTCATTTTTCGATTCTGTCGAAGTGGAATTTTCTTCTAAAGTTTCAACAAGTGTTAATGAATCAGAATTGGTTGATGATGGAGGTGTTTTATTTTCTTCAGTGGTTTCTGTTGTAGTTGAAGTTTTATTAGGGTGCTGAATGTATTCTAAGATTTCTATATCACTATCATCATCATTGTTGGCAATATTAGTATCACTCGGCCTTAGTTCCTTACTTTTTGAATGTTCTACGCTTTTTAAAATATCAGGATTATCCAAGAGGTTGATATTAATAAATTCTTCGTCACAGCGTAAATCGTCTTCCTCAGTAATACTTAGTGGATCCACAGCATTAGCTATCTTTGTTTTGACCTGTTCATTAGCGTATCGTACTTCTAATTCACACTCTTGATGAACTAGCTGTACTTTAGTTTGGTCTACTACTGGTGGATTTATCTTCATAGTATTAATTTTTGTATTAGGTTTCTCAATAATCTTTGCAATTTTTGCTACTGTTGAGTCTGTTTTAGATTCTGGTGTTTTTATTACCGAAACTCCGCCAGTATCTTTGAATCCACTAGCAGTTTTAACAGTTATTTCATTAGGCTTTACAATGATAGTAGACACTCGTCCAGAAAATTCTTTAGGAATATTTCTATCGAGTAAATTGAGAACTTCTGCTGGTTGATTAACAACTTGCACCGGTCGTGGCAAAATTGGCACTGGATTTGTACTTTTTCCAGCAGTGATAATTGTCGGAGTAATTGACGTAGCAGTTGTAGATGGTCGGGGCTGACGTTTTTTTGCGATTTTTTGTGCAGATGACTCTTGAACTGATTCATTAATAATTTTAAGTTCTGTACACTTGTAAGATTCATCAAGATTTCTTTTAATTAATTGTAATAGAACATCTTTGTCTCGTGCTGGCTGTGGAGGTAGTGATCGTTCTAATATTTTCGGAGGACGATTACAGTGCATTACACTTAAATGACTATGCATTTCTCGCAATCCATCAGCACCAAAAATACAAAACAGACATTGATACTTATAAAGTCCATGGAGCTTGTAATGAGAAACAAGTTGTTTTGACGTTAAACAGGAATGTGGACAAATATGACAATAAAAAATCGATAGAGGTGGTTCATGTTTAGTGTTTAAATGTGACATGAAAGCTTCAGGAACAAAAAATACTTTATCACAGGCATGTTTGCAGACATAAGGTAGTATAACTTCGCGTACATCAACCTTTTCTGGTACATGATATTCTCTCATACCTAATATTACAGAAAGAGGCTTGATTGGATGAGATGCGAGTTGATGCAGCTCGACATAAGATTGAGTAAAAGCTCGATAAAAGCAATAGCTACATTGGTATGAACAAAAGGAATGTTTTGATTTGTAATGCGCTTTCATAGTATCCCACGTTGAAAATGATTCACTACAGTAAGGGCATTTTTGATAATCATAAACTGCATTTGGTTTATTCCGCTCGTTCATTTCTACATGTTGATTAAAATGTTTACCAAAAGATTCCATAGAGTCAGATGTGAAAGTGCATGCTCGAGCCATACATTTATATAAATGGCGAAGTTTTAAAGCTGTCAACATCATTTGATATGCCTCGGCAGTTTTAAGTTTCGGTGCTACTGTACTAAGGGGAGATTCTTTCGGTTTTCTCACTGTTAATCCTCGTACAACTTTTAAAAATTTAATATTTTTAGCAGGTGCTGGTTTAATAGGAGGTAAGCGTGTTAATAAACCTTCAGTTGTAGTTACTGAATGAATTTTTTTCACGATATTAGTGCCTATAGGCTGTTTGAGAACTGATGAGCCCACAATTCTGACTGGAGTTCCTACAGCTTTACGTATGTCAGTGATAATAGTTTCATTGTTACTATTGATACGTTTTTCAGGTTGTGCTAAACTCACCACATTTTCGATTTTCAAGAAAGAACAATCATTATTTACGTCATCCACTGCTTCTTCATTTTCGGGAATATTGGCTGTAATCTCATTTGATGATTCAGTATCTTTCTGATTTTCTTTAATAGGTTCATCAATACTACTTTCAGTCGAATTTTGATTATTAGAAAGTTTATCACCGCTAAGTCTTCGTAATCTAATAAAGTTCCTTGGACCTTCATTTCCTTGTACATTTTCTCTTTCAAATGTAGCCGTTTGACACGGAATTTCTGCGGCAGTTCTATTTAAACTTTCTACGGATGTAATCACTGGAACTCTGGTAACAATATTCTCAGACACATCAGACTCTTTATGGGAATTATCTTCAACATCTTCACTATTCGTCGCTGAAAAACTCTTCGCACTTTGAAGCTGAGCCGCTAATCGTTGGATTGTTGTCATCATTGATACTTTTGTAGGTACATTTATAGTTTCAGCATCTTTTAGCAATGAATTAACATCTGTTGAAACTTCTGTTTCTAAATCATCTTCACTAGAATCAGATTCATCGAAAGCTCTATTGACATCTTCGGTTGGCTCTACATCACTTATTTCTGTTTCACTCTTTTGAACATCATCTTGAAGTGAAGTTAAAGGATCTTTTAATTTTTTCTCAGATTTTCCTTCATTAGAGTCATCATCAATTTTATCAATATCTATTACTTCATCAGATCCTACAGATGATGAATTAAGTGCAACCGGTAATGGATCAGTTTGAATTTCAGTTTTAACATTTTCATCCAATATTGTTGATCCTTGAAGAGTTATATTATCTTCTTTATCATTTTCAACACGTTCAAAATTTATCGATTGAGTTGGCTCAGATTCTGTACCTATTGTTGTCATTTTATCTTTCAATTGATCAATAATTGATACACGTTTAGTAGAATCTTTTTGAAGCTTTTTCCCCAAATCATTTAGTATCTGTTGCATTTTCTTTTGTCTTTCCAATTGTATTTCTACCTCTTTCTTTTCAAGCTCAGGAGGACAAACAAAAGCATTAAAGTTTTTGATAACAGAATTCTCCCCTTCATCTTGATTTACATCATTTTTCATTGCTGCACTCGTACTAGCATTATCTTTAGTGGATTTCTTTTGTTCAATTTCATCACTATCTTCAGTTTTAGCATTACTATCTTCATCCATCGAGATAGCATCAGAATCCTCTTTTACAACAGGTTCTTCAAAATGTTCTTCAAAATCTTTGTTATCTTTTATATTGGCGAAACCAGACATATTGACTTTTATAATTTCTACATTCGAGATGTCTTTGTGAAGTTTGTCAATATGATTTTGCACATTATGTTCTTTTAATTGAATAAAGTTACAAAGAGAACATAAAAAACCTGGAACATAATCTTCTTTGGGTATTGAATCTTCAGTGTAAGACAGTAGAATATTATCACAGTTTTTACGACATACTTTATAATAGTGAGTTTTTATTGCTGATTTAGAAACTGTTTGGTAGCCACAACTCTTACAAGTAAACCTATATTCACCAGTATGAGTAGTACAATGTTCATAAAACATTTCAATAGCATTCTCTTTGACACCTTCTGATATAAAAATACAAAATCTACAATTAAACTTTCGATTCGGTCTACTATTGAGTTTTTCAGAACACTTAATGAAAATTTCATCCTTAGATTCATCTATGGCACGTTTAGCATCTAAGTAAGTCAACCGGGAAATCATTATTTCATTCTTTGGGTGAACTGATTTGTAGTGATGTACTATATTTTTCCCCAAAAATGGACAAAGAAGGCATTGATATTTTTCTTGACCAGTCCAAGCATATTCAATCAGTTGATTCAGTGTCAGATCAGGATATTCAGCTTCTTTATCTTTCAATATGGTAGTAGTATTAACCGAAGATGAAGAAGATTTTTTCGGTGAATTTGATGTATTTTTGATATTTTTCTTACTTTCACTGCTTTTGGTCATAATAGGAGTGTTACTTCTTGAATCATCAGCAGTCACATCACTTTTCTGTTCAATAGATAACGGAGAAGATGCTTCGTCTGTTTCGTTATTCGAATTTACACTTCTTTTCTTTTTACATCGTGGTACAATACCCATTTGCCAAGTATTTTTCTTCTTCTTTCTTTTGATCGGAGGTTTTTTAATACTTTCGGACTCGTCCATGTCTTTTTCTACGTCAACGTCTGAATTATCTGCATTACATGTTTCTTTATTTTTATCTTCAACAAAATTTCCAAAAATATTTGTTATCACTTCCTCGTTATTATCTACTAGCGTTGAAATACTCGACGTTTTCTTGTTACTTGACGCGTTACTACTTGTTATTGAAACGTCTGACGCCATACTAATGTCGTCATCCATAATAGACGGCGTGACTCTAGACTGTTTGTCAGTTTCTTTGGCCTTGCGTTTTCGAATTTTCTTCGTCTTTTGGGAAACTTTAGTATAAGAATTGGTTGGCGGATCGTTCACAATTGGTGATGATGGTTGCTCTGAATGTAACGAAATATCCACAACAGCGGTTAGTCCAGGTACGTCAATAGCAAAACTCTCATCAGATGATGTATCAAACATAATTTTTGAAGAATCAATCTTCGCAAGCTCAGTTTTTTCAATTATTATTCGAGGTTCTTTCATGGCTACTCTTTCGCTTCGTCTTAATGTACGGTTAGAGTCTTCTATTTCATTCGATTCAACGTCTTGATTTGCTGATTCTTCAGGATTTGTACTTATTGAGGTTTCAGTTGTTTGATTTAAAATATTAGAATCATTCTTTGGTGTTCCAGAATTATTTTCGTCATCGGAACTGCTTACAGTTTCTTTTGAAATTTTACTTGAACGTTTCGGATTCCTTTTTCGTCTCTGAACTGGAGGTTTTTCTGGATCTTGGCATTCAGGGGTTTTATTTTTCTTAGCTCTACTTTGGGGCCTAGTACGGCTTTCAGATCTTGTTCGACTTTGGGATCTTTCTCTACTTTGTGATCTTACTCTACTCTTGGACCTGGTTCTACTCTTGGACCTGCCTCTACTCTTAGATCTCGCTCTATCCTGTAATTTTGTTCTACTTTTAGACCTTCCTCTACTTCTAGCTCGGCTTCGGGCTCTACTTCTCGATCGAACTCTTTTAGAAGATTTTTCTTCTGATGAATCTTCATCTAATCCATCAGGTGAACTTGTAACATAAATAGAACGATAGCTTTTTTCAGTACCATCTGCATTTTTTTCAGATTCTTTTTGCAATCTGCACATTCGATGTCCAGTCGCAGTTACAACACCTTCACTGATAAACATTTCTCGTATATCTTCTTGTAACATTTCCAAAGAATTTCTTCGTCGAAACTTACGGGGTTTCTTTTCTTCGTTGACAGATGTCACTTCTTGCGTTTTTTCTTCTTTATTTTCTGGATCCTCAATCGTTAATTCATCCGATTTCTTATCTTTTCCTTTAACCTTTTTTGTTACTTTTTTCTTTTTTGTTGGAGATTTGTTATCATTAGTTTTCGTTTCTTTATCATCATCATCATGGTTGTCTTCTTCTTCATTTTCAACGTCAGTATCAGCTAGTTTTTCTTTTTTCTCTGTACTCTGGCTTTTTTTATTTTTTCTAGATGATTTGGGACTTGCCTGTTGGCTTTTTTCACTTTGATTTTCTTCATCCGAAGTATCTGATATAACTGCAGATTTTTTCTTCTTCAAAATTTTTTTTCTATTCTTTATAGTTTCTTCTGAATCAGAACTATTACTTTCCGACCCACTCACAACATATTTTTTTTTCATTTGGTTATGTAGATTCTTCGTTTGATAGGCTACAGTCAATTTTCGAAGAAATTTTGCTTGTTCTAGAAGTTTCCAAGCTTCACCTGATTCTAATGATCTTTTGATAAACGATTCAAGTGATTCTTCATTATCATTTTCTTTCGGTGGACTTATTTGATTCTTTATGTCAGTTTTTTTGCTAGGAGTAGAAGTATCAATTCTCGATTCATACTCATCGCTTTCATCAGTTTTTACTGATTCAGGTACCTCTTTTCTCAGTATTTCTGCATCAGAATGTTTGGAATCATGAGCCACATCAGTACAACTAGTAGTGACTGCGAGATCATTATTTTCATTTGTTGTACTTGTTACTTCTATCTTTTTACTATCTTGTGATTTTGTATTTTTATTTTCGATTGGTGAACTCCAATCGTCATCATCACGTGACGCACGAGATGGTTTCGGAGGAGTTGGAGGTCTAGGAACAATTTCAGGTCTTTTAATTTTAGGAATTTTAAATTTTTGAAATCCATAACCTTTCCCAGTTTTAGCAGTTATGTCTACAACACCATAAAGATGCTCTAACGGCGACTGCATAGTTTCTTTATCTTTAATGGTTTTTTCATTACTTGATTTATTGTCAATTAAATTCTTCTTTAATTTTTCATCATTTGGATTAGCATCTTTCCCTTTTTCTGAAATGCCAATTTTGTTCGTTAGTGGTGTGACATTGGGATTTGAACAAGTGTTGGATTCTTTTGAATCCGAATTTCTTCGTCGTGGATCCCGTTGAACTGGAGAAGTATCTTTGGTTTTTGCAAGATGTGGATTATCTTTTATTAATCGAGGATCCCTTCTTACATTAGATGAAGTTGAAGCATTCACTGTAGATTGAAGAGGTTGCTCGGATCGATTCCGAGAATCAATAGCAGGTGGTTGTTGACTTACTTGCTCCTGCCGAAATCGAGGATCTCTGTGGCCGAATCTATTAGGAGAATCGTTTGTTGGACGATCCCACTCGTTGCGACGATTATACCCACTAAGAGCTGGCTCTCCGGGTCTTCCTCTATCAGTCGGAAAATGATCCGGATTTCTACCTCTACCGGGTGGACAATCGCCGGGCCCATTACCTCCACGACACCATGATGGAGAATCTATATTATTTCCTCGACCATAAGCATTATCGATTCCTCTTCCTCGATGTGTTTCAAGAAAATTAGGTTCGTTGAGAGGTCGATTTGATAAAGGTTCCCATTGTGGTTGTCTTGGAGGACCATGTGGAAAATCTGGCCGGTCGAAAGATGGCTCATTGGGCCTATTAGATTGTCCATCCCATTGATGTCTCGGAAAATCTACAGGCCTATCGAAAGGTATATCATTTGGGCGATTAGGTTCCCATTGTCTACTTGGACCTTGAGAAAATTCATTAGGATGGTCAAAAGGAGGTTCGAAAGGTCTATTTTCAGCAGGGAATTGGGGACAAAATTGAGGATTGGGAAACATGGGTGGGGCAGACATTAGGGACGGAATAGGTCCTTGTGAAGGTGAAAGAGGTATGTCATCAGAAAAATTTAGATCATTGTTTGGCCTTCCTACACGATTAGGTCCAAATCGATTTGACATGTGGTGTTGTTGAGGGTAATCATCTACTGGACCATTCGGTCCCATTCCCCACATTTCTTGATGTGATGGCATATTGCCAGAATTTGGAAATTGACTATTAGGATGATTTCGCATATTAGTGTTTTGTGAACTCCATGATGGGTTGGTATATCCACTATTACCAGGTGAGTGGAGCATTGCTCCTTGATTATGCATATCATAAAAATCTCCACGTCTAAAATCTGGATTATCTCGACAAAAATCCATGTTATCCCGTCTAAAATCACCATCTGAAGGTCCCATGTGATTCGGTTGACCCATTCTTTGTTGGTGCATGTCTGAGTGATGGGGAAAATTGTTTTTCTTTAGATTTACATCTGAGTTATTGTGAAAATGACGTGGATATCTTTCATAATTATCAGAAAATCGTGAGTCACGATCAATATTTTTAAAAGCTGGCGAAAGTGATCGATGTTTATCTTCAAATCGTTTGCCAAATAATGGTTTATCTGATTTAAAATTCCCAACTTTTCCTGAATTAAAATTTTTGCGACCAGTCATTTTAACAATGTGTTTATCTACTTCTTCCCAACGTCTTTCATTGTCGTCATCATCTTCACGAGAAGTCTGTCCTGTCATCTTTATATCTTTGTCGATTTTTTTATTGTCTTGTGAAAACTTATCTTTCAATTTATTTTTATCTTTATCTGAATGTGAGCTTTTTTTATTAGAATCTTCATTAAGAAGTTCAGCTAAGTCCTCCATAGATAAAGGTGGACCAGATAATTCTGGTTTGGATAATAATAAAGTACTTTTTCGAGATGGAGATAAAGATTCAGATTTTTTAAGATTTTTTTTTGAATCATTTTTTACTAAATCTTTATCTAAACCATCAGAATGACTTTTATCTGAAGAAAACTTCCGAATCCCCTTAGAAGGACTGGAATCATTAGATGATCGCTTGGAATGTCCTGAATGTTCATCTTTTCGTTCAGTTGGAATGATAATTGGTTGAGCTGTTGATATAGTTTCACAAGGCTCAGGACTTGCAGGTTTACTGTCTGCCTTTTCACTTGGATAATCATTTTTACGTTCAGTGGGAATAATAATGGGCGTTACAGTAGACTCACCCTGTCGATCAGGACTAGCTGGTGGACTAGGACTTGCTGGAGTCTCATCCATTTTCTTTTTAATTTTTGTTTTTTCAACATGCGAAGATTTAGCATCTAACTTCTTAGAATTGATATCTTTTGAGCTTTTAGACTTGCTCTTTTTTTCTGACGATCTGAAAATTGAAGTTTAACTTGCAAAACAGCTGTACTTTCTCACTATTCTTTTAAATGATTATAATTCATGATATAACTCACTCTGATGACGTTTCATTTAAATTTCCGTTCTTCTTTGATGAAAAGCTTAAACCATCAGTTTCCTGAAACTCGAGTCGAATTAGAATAGTTAAATAAGATTCTTAGTTTTCTAAACCCACAACAAAAGCCAAGCAAATAGTTTTAAAAATTAAATTTCACAAAAAGAAGTTTTTAAAAATAAATTTACTACATTGCGAAATCACCAATCATTTTATTTACATTATCACGAATAAAATAGCTACCTTTCCTACTCTACTGTGCAGCTTTTGTAATACATCTTCGCATTTTATGAGCGTTTCAAGTTTCAACCTGTCAAAAACAAAAGAAATGTCGTTGATGATATTGTTAATGTTTGCATGGCTCACACAATCAAATAAAAAATGATTTTTAAAAAATGAATTAAAAAACGTATGCAGTTCCCAGAAATCATAAAGCAAAAATTACGTGTAGGGTGAAAATACTTTGAGATTAGCCTGTATAAAATGATAAAAACTATAAACAACAATAACATTTTTGATTCAATATATTATTTTTTACAATTATCGGATAAATTATTTTTATAAATAATTTCGATCTTCCGATTTCTGCATACGTTCGATGTTTGTTAATAAATTTGCTGCAATTAGATGAAGTTTATAAACCATGAATGAAACTGAATAAAATATATGATGATACCAGATCGAAATTTTGACGTACTTTCTTTTGCTGCTTGATAAAATTCCATGAAGTTGCCGCATTTTTCCTAATTGTTCTTCTCTTGATGGATCTCGTTCTTTAGCTTTAGTAAGCCTTGCAATCATGGCTTCTAAAAAAGGGATATACTTTTGCATATCAGCAAACTTTTGATCATATTCATCCATCTTGATAGAGATTTCTTTTCTTCACCTGCACCCAGAAGAGGTGTGATTGTTTAATTTAATAATAGTTTACATCAACTTCACGTGATTAAATTTTATAATAATATTCGATAAAGACTTATTCATTTATACATAAATAAACTTGTATATGAAAATACAAATTATTAACAAATTTATAACACTATTAAAATCTGGATTTGATGTAATAAAAATAAACGTAAATCAATTTAATAACATAGCTGTAGAAGCCTTCGAATTATTTTATTAATCATTTTTAGTGTACTGAATCTGTTATTTTTTCACCGTAGTACATACAACAAAAAAAATGATTAATCTCTAATATGTGTTCTTGTAGAAATTTACTCAACTACAAAACCATGGTATATTCCATTGTCATGAACCACTCGTTATTTTCAACATACACCTCATCACATCAATGAATCATTCTTCACTACATAAAATTGTTTTTCATAAAACTTACTATTCACTTGTAAAAACATTTTTTTTTTTTTAACACATGATCAATTTCAATTCAACATTGCACTTGTTTCATTATTCATTTTGTACTTCAAGTTCAATATCCATCAAAAGTTGAGAACTCCAGATTATGCTATACATCTAGATATATTGTGTCACATTGTGCTCAGCTGCCCCGTCTAGTTTTATTATACACTCACGTACATATTCGTAGGAGCTGCTTAGTAATGGTGGTTCTCAACGTAGTACTTTTTTGTGAATCTATTTATTTTTAATAAATTATGTATTTTGAATATTGACTCATAATATGTCAGTTTTTTCTTTAAATCTCCCAATTTATTCATTCAAATTTTTTATAACTGTAATCATTGAATTGGCATAAAATTCCATGATTATGTTGTAATGCTATGGTTATCATTAAATCAACACTTCTGACTTTCAACATCATATCATGACAAGTAACATCTAATCAATATATAATTTATAGTTTTCTTCAAAGCAAATGTTATAAACATTCCATATTTCAACTTAAAGGGTAATTTAATACAGTTATTAATTGCTAATTTATGGTGGAACTATGGCGTTATGATTAAACACGTGCTTTGATTTGTACATATCATTCATCGAAAACTATTTTTGATATAGTGATTAGAATGGCTACTGTAATGTATAATATTTATTTTTCTTTGTATTCAGTTGGACCAAATAAAAATTGAATACTTGCAGCAGATGGTCAATATATTGCGTCATGCAATCAACTACGATTCCACTTTGTCCATTTTCCAAGATATACGAATCCATTTTATTCGTCAAATATAATTGTCATAATTTTGATTATAGTTTTATCGACTTACCTTGGTTTAATCGAAAAAATTAATTTATATAATTTTAACAATAAATTTGACTTTCTATTATTTTTCAATAAAAAAATCTTTTAATCCAAGTTACTCAGCACACGCGTTCGACCCTTCGCTTCTCGCGATGTCGTAGCATCCTATCAACTCCCACTTCCCATAATAAAACGATCGTAGCGCCAAGGTTCAATCACAATTTTTTGTCGATACTCGAAGTAATTCATCGAAAGTTTTTTTTCTTTACATAACTGATCAAGTAGTTAGTTTATAATGATTATAATTACAAGGTTTGTAAATAAATTCTTATTTGCAAAATGATATAAATTGATGATTGTAATACAAAAATATCATTTTGCGAGCAAATTCTAAAAAATGATGAACAGCGCCATCTATAACAATAAACTCTGCATCATAAGAAGATAACATATGTACATAACAATCTAATCGAGTTTCAAGTAATTATTTCCTTGAATTGTTTAAAATTTAAGGAAATTGTACTTGAAAATGAATATTTACGCTCAGAATGACACAATCTACTTGTAGCGTATTTATTACCTATTTCTATGTATGTTATATAGTATTATAGTAGTGAAGTTAGAATAAACTTCTTCTGTTACGGAGGAATACGCTCCAATACTTGCAAATAAATTGATTTTCTTACTTTTTCTTATATTCTATGCACACTACACTCCTCTTATTGTACTTAAAAAAATTAAAGCTTTCTCAAAGTATTTTTCACCAATTGATTCAAGTCTCGTGCTTATTATGTAATGATTTTAATTATACATATTTCCTTACCCAATAATAATGCCTTTTTTCTGGAAATATTTTTGTTCTTGATTATAATCGTTGATATACTTAAAGTAATTTAATTATCATTTAAAGTCATAATTGACGAGTATTTACATCACCAATTTCTAAATTATATTATTTCTTATATTTAGATCACAACTTTAACTTATCTTCCAACACTCACGAGTCTTCAATTGTTCATAAAAAATTTAACATCGTTTTATTTAGTAAATGACGTGCACAGTGCTCTCTTTCTATTATTTCAAGTATTAACCCATTTCAAACTAGTATTGTATTCTAAAGTATTAAAATATAGTGAATCTCCTGAGTTAATAATGTAGACCTAAATAAAAAAAATTAAATAAAAAAAAATTACATTTACCAAATTAAATGTCTGAAAGAATTTATTGTATATTCTTTTCATGCTCCTGTATTTTATAGAGTAATGTAAATCCAAGAGACTTGTCTGAGGTTTTTCATTGTGCCATTTCCGTTTTTTCTCCACAACACGTCACACACGACTATTGTACTTAAACCTAATTATTGACAAGCAAATGGCTACATATTATAATGGCGTACCACAAAATACATATGACAGATTTGCATCATCAACACGATTTATGCAGGTAACAAATGAATAATATGATACTGATGAATGTTCATAATCTTTTTTAATCTTCTATTATTACGTGCTCACGAATGTCTTTAAAATTTAAAAGGCTGATCAAATCCTGATGACAATGACCATATCTTTAAAATTAATATAGCAACCGGAGAAAAATTTGCACAGATACTTGAGAATTAAGTGTACTTATTTTAATAGCCTGGACGCGACAAGATCGCGCTAAAGAACGCAGGCTCGAGAACCCAATGATCATACATATCCACACACAATGGCTGACATTCAGTAAAACGACCGGTGGGATGACTATCTCTCTTCGACCCAGTGGGTTAAAACCATCTGATCCATATGATTTTCTTTACTTGTTACTACCTATTCATCTCAGTTTCTATTCTTCTCTTAAAGTTTCTACCTGCCGTTACTATTCAATATCTCACTCACCAGTCCACAACATTGAAATGTTCAAGAATTATTGAAGTTTTCTTCATACATAGTATCCAACTTAATTCACTACAAAATAAATTTATTTTATTTTTTTTAATATATTATTTTTCGTTCTATGACCTCGGACAGACTATGTCGAACTGGTAGTTTTCAATTCCCTCGCAGTAAGCGACCTCTCATTTGTTTTGAAAATGAAATACGATTCGCGACTATCAAGTGTTTTATTTATTTTTTATATTTTTATGTTATTATTTATGACAAAAATGGTAAAAACTAAGTTTTCTCAAGTTATTCTACATAACTAAAGAAACCTGCTGAAAATAAATAGGATGTAAATAAGAAATATAATTTAAGTTAAATTTTATATTTACAATATACTTGTTTTTTTTTTATTTCATTGTCGGATTATAAAATTGAGTGAGTTACCTACTAAAACTTCTGTTACATCCAATATCAATACTTTCATTCTATGCCAGATAGTATAAATCAATCATTGGCGACTACTATCTGGTAAAATTAATATATTTATTAAGCTTTACTAACTTTCACCGATGTAACGGTATACAATAAACACTTACATTATATTAAAATTATTTATAAACGTAATTAACAAAAATAAAACAAATTATACGGAGAGACAGATATTAACGCTCCCGAGGTAGATCCGCCATCTTAGGACATATTAGTACAATCGTCACTAATTAGAGGGAGTTCATCTTCGGCAAAGTTCGGCTAATAGTGGCGCCATTCTCGAAGTTTGTCGAAGATTTAAATTTTTAAAATCTGTATGAAAACTAATAAAATTACTTACTTGGTTATTTTCACGAATATCATTACACGATTGATAATATTAAATTTATTATAACGATTAAGGAATAAACAATCTTCTTGGAAATTCTTCTAAAATCAAAAAATAGTCTATCCTTGTTCCTGTAATGTTTATTTATTTAAACATTATTAATCAAGTAATGACAGCCATGAGTTTAAGAGTAAAATGTCCTCATGTATTTGTATCCTGCAAATGCAATCCATATTTTTATTTATTATGAGTTTATGGATTTTTACATGTTCATAACTTTATTTACAAAAGATCGAGTCAATACATGCACCGACAATTTGGCAATTTTCTTAAAATTTTTTCATTAGTATTCAATTGCTTTAATTTTTACGAATTTCATTTATGTACAAAATCTGTGTTGACTAAGCTTTTGCTTTTCAATTGTTTGAATATTTTTCACTACTTTTCAAACAAAATATCACTGCCACATTAAAGTAAAACATTAAACATAGAATTACATTTTAACGTCAACAAAAATTATCATTAACTGATTATCACTTTAAAGAATGATTTTTGAATCCACTCTTTTGTTTATAAAATATTACTTTTATCATCGTTGAGTGTTATAAATTAATACTATAATAATCAAATACGTCATTATCATTGAATCAGCCGAAGAGTAGAAAATTTTATTAAACGGACATTATATTAGCGGTGTTCAACTATGCAAGAAAATAAATATTTTATTAAAAATATTCAAGTGTTTTTAGTGTTAATGGTAAAAAAGAAAAAAATAATTACAATAAGCAGCACTCAATATCGATTTAGTTCTTTTACTTTGTAAATTTGCTGAATGCCAAACATTTTTCCATTTATTTTTATTTTATTTAAAAAATATTTTTTTCCCTCTATTTTTTTGTTTCTTCTAGTTTTTTTCTTTTATCAATAATGAATACAGAAAAAATAAAAAATTACAGGAGCTCGCAAATAACTCAATACCCGTTTCAGTTACTTGATTGATAATTAAGTCAATAACACTATTAACTAAAATATTATCAATGATTTTACACCAATTTTTATTTATTTGCATTTTTTCCATCAGAAAATGAACTTTTTAATTATTTAATTGGTTTAAATTTACAGAACAAATTAATAATTATATTTTATTGAAAGAAATTTTACGTTTTGTGATGAATATTGATTTATCACTCACAACAGACAAAGGATAAGAAATACAGGAAAAATTAAAAATCATAAACTCATTAAGTTATTTTCTCTAGAAACAGATTAAACAAATGTAAAGGAAAATAAAAAACGTTTGAATTAAAATAAAAGAATAAAAGAATTATGAGTAATATTTACGGCTTCTAACATTCATATGTGCAGGTAACTGCTCCAAGTAAATATATCAATCATTTGTTTCATAGTTTATCTATTACCAATAGAATATTTTCCCTTTTAATATTTGTTTCTCACCTTATTAATCTCTTTTTCTTCTTTTTTCATCATAAATTATTAAACATTAATCAAGTCCGTTTAATTCATCTTACTTAATCTTTATCTCGGTAACGACACTGTAATTTCTTGTACTTCTATAAAGTATATATTATTTTTATTTATAAATTTATGCATATGACTCGGATAACGTTAGTGACATCCGTAATTTAGCTTCTGATTCCGAGATCAATGGTGAATTAATTTAATTTTTGTTTTTTTTTCTTCATTCTCTGTTGGTTTATTTTTATTTGTTTCTTTATTTTATCATTCTGTTTGACTGTTCTAGCGCAGAATAGAGATGAAATCCCATATAACAGTCTTATTTTAATAATATAATCTAAGACAATGATTCTAAAAAGTCCTTGAAGAGTGGAAATACACTCATATTACATGATTAATTATATAAAATGGTAAATTCTTTCTGTTCTAGTTTCCATACGAAAACAACAAAATACTAATTTCTCATTATTTTTTCTTCTTTGTAAATATTGTTGACTTGAATAGGTATTTCTCCTCGTAACGAAGTAAATAAATAATCCATCTAATTAGAAATGGATATCATACATTTGAGTACTTGTCACTTAAAGATTTGCGAATAAAAATCCGAGAATCAAGCTCGTAGTTAATTTTAGCTGTCACACATTATTTTATTGGAATAATTTTTATATCTTTTATCAATTTTTTATGTTACTTCATTACTCATGTACAACGGCAGATGATTGTTGAAGCCGTTCTAATTCTTCAAGTGACAAAACATTTGTTTGACCGAGTTCTGGTAGCTTTCCGGCTCTTGCTTTTGCAAGAAGTTCAGGACTAAACCATCGAGCCAATTGATTAGATGTAGGTGACAGGCTACCACCATTGCTTCCTGGAGATTGTTGTCTGCCTATTGGTATGTTCATTGGTTGTTGTTGAGGCCGTATCACTCGACCATCTAAATATTATTAAAATAAAATGAGCAGAGATCTTAAAAATTTAGAAGAGTATTTTAAATGTCAGTTTAATAGTCATATGTACTTGTTTTAGTTGGTTTACAAAGCAAATAAAGAATCACACTAGAATAATAGGGAAATAGTGACGAATGAATAGAAAAGAACATTTAAACAAATGAAATAGATTAGTCTAACTTCGGATGGCCATTGCACACAACTTTCGGTGGAAATGGACAACCTGAAAGGAAGGAGTGCTGAGGATATTCATAATACATGCATAGAAATAACAAAAATAGAGTATTGAATTTTTTGTTCGAGTAGCTTGATGGAATAAGTAAACTAATTATCGAAATTACCTGTTCGATTAGAATTGTAATTTTGGTTTAGGACAAGCTGAACTTGAGAATTAACATTACGTTGTTGGTGTTGCATATTTGCAAGGTGAGATTGCACCGGTTGTGCCTTAATCAGATTATTCATGGGATCTGATCTTTGGCTCATTATAGAATTTGGCGTCATATTGTATTGAGAAACATTTTGGTGTGAGAGAGTCGTAGACATTGTGTGTTTAGAACGAATAGTATTTCCACCAGTTGGAGCTCGAGCTGGATAAACACCAGTTGCTACTCGTTGTTGGGAGGGAGGCTGCATTGACGGTTGGAAATTAACTGGCCCACCATATTGATATTGATTCGTTGATACGCCTTTGACAATTGGTCGACCTAAAATAAATTCTTTTATTATATTTATTTATTATAAATACATTAATTGACGTATTTGAAGCTAATTTGAAATACCCGGATGTTTATTAACAGATTGATTTGCCCAAGGTCCTTGTTGACCTGATGTTTGTTGAGGTCTGATAGCATTTTGTTGTCGAGAAAGAACCCCTTGAGTTATGAGCTGCACTGCTGATTGCATCTGTTGCATTTGATTTGCTTGACTTTGAGCCACCAATTTCGATGCTTCAGCATTTCCTGTATTAAGAGAGACACATCGGCTTAATTACACCCGTCAGATAATAAACTTACATCCGTTCTATGATTACCATTAATTAACCAGCATTTGACTGATTAAATTGTCACAAAAGTCTTTGCGAAATGTGATTTGTTCATAATTCCATAATTATTTGAAAGTATACTAATTACATTTAATTGAAAAGTATCATTCATTTGATTATTTACTTAGTAGTTTTGTACGAAATGACGAGACTAATCGGTATATTCATAATTTATGTACATTAAGTTTATCACTTTGTTAACTTTCAATGACTTTTGCAACAATCTAATACTGTTTTAATGAAGAAAAAATCAATAACTCATTTTATTAAGAATACCAAAAGCAAAAACCATGCAGAAAAAATGGAAGTAAAATGTTATAGACAAGAATAATAGATGGATAGTGTGTAGGGTAAATTAATAAGTGTTTTATTATAAAAATTGATTGACATAAGTAATTATTATAAGAATAAAGTAAATGATAAAGACTTATAGTTTTTTGAGAGTAAGTTAATGGCGTATTTATAGAGTAACATTCCATTTTGTGCAATATTTAAGCAAAAGAATAAGAAAATAAGAGATAGAGTAATTACAATAAAACAAAAATAGCAGCAAAAGCAGTGCATCATGCTCATTTCACAAGTTGCGAATTCAGTAAAGAAAAAAAAATAAACATTTTTTTGTTAATCGCCACCTAAATTCTTGAAAGTATGTTATTTACTTAATTTTGTTACGTTAATAATATGTATTAATCATAAAAAATCCTGTAATAGTACGCTTTTTAAACTACTTCGACTTCATCTAAAGTAGTCAAACTATTCTCAACAGTAATATTAATTTTTTTACTTTCAATATTATTATTATCGTTAATTTTATAATCAACAGATTTTTCATTATTATTGTTAGTATTTTCAACGTCATTGTTTTCAGAATGATCAACAATATCATTATTATTGTTTGTATCGCCGATAATAGCTACCTCTAACTTTTGTTGTGAAATTAAACTATCAACGGAAGTAATTTTTTTTTCGGAATCAATTTCCTCAATCAGTGAATCTACATTCATAAAATTCAAATCAGAGTTCGAATTCAGAACAACGGTTTCTTGTGTCTCATTTTCTTCTTTAACTTTTTCATTTTTATTACACGATCGCGATGAAGTTCCTGTTATATTATTTTTTCCAGATTTTTCATTATATTTATAAAGATTATAATTATTATAATTTATATGATTAGCATGAAAAGATGCAATTGCGCGATTATTTTTGTTAAAATGAGCTGAACGATTGTGATAATAAGCACGGGCATTGTTATTGTTGCCTAATAAAGGAGACAATACTAATTTTATTTGTCTAACAGGTTGATTCGCACCATCAGGTTCCTTTTCGGCAGTCATTTTTCGCAACACCGATGTCGGGGTAAAAGCAAGTGGCGTTGGACTCATCATCTGTTTTGATGGTGAATTTACTGGACTTGTAATACGTTGCTGCTGTTGATGCTGATGATGTTGCTGCTGCTGCTGCTCTTGTCGTTTACGATAATTCTCACGGTGTTCCTCCAACTTGGTCTTGATTAGTGCATTTTGCATAATGGTTTGCGTGTGCATTACGAGGTCGCGAGGCGAAGGCACTCTGTGTGGGATCACTGTCGAAATGACAAATTAACTCGATAGCACAAATTAATATAATACCAATGATAACAATTACTTGATATATTCGATTATTAAATGAATATTTATATCATTTTTAGATGATTTAATTAATTGAATAGATGATGATTTTGTTTAGGGGGATTCTCAGGAAAATGAAAGTATTTTACCTGGATGTTGGATTGATAAAGTACTAGGACTTGTGGCGATATTTGATGATATTATTGAAGATGGGCGTAAAGCTGCATTCCAAAATAAAACAATTTTTTCTCTCGAATTCAAGTAATGTTCAATAGATAGATACATTCACACTTGAATATATAGATGCCAAAAGAAAAGAAATATTTCAAATATTTCAATAATTTAATAAAATTTAGTGCATACCAAATATTCACGCGATTCATGTCAACACAACAATTTATCTAAAATCATAATAAAAAAACCCAAAATACCATACCATTATTCATTGGTGAAGTCACTCTCTGCTGATGATGTTGGTGTTTATGTTGCTGATAAAGTAATTGTTGGATTATTTGATCATGTGGCACTGCCTTTCCACTGTGAGGACTGACAGTTCGTGGAGTTGTGTTACCATACATTTTTAAGATATTCACAAGTACTTCACGATGGCGATGTTGCATGGCAGGGTTCTATAAAAAATTAATGTAATTGTTCTATTCTTGGCTGAAAATAAACAAGATTTTTAAATATCAAAAAAACCTGAAGTTGTTGAATTAAGTGTTGTCTAGTAATCTCTCCTTGTTGAAGACCTTGAATAATTGCCTGAGCTTCAGGCCGTTGAAGAAGTTCACGACTGGACGGTGCATTATTGACTAACATCTGCATTTCTTGAGGAATTGGACTTACTCCTACCATTCTCTGATTATTCATCATCATCGACAGCATGTCAGTTTGTTGTTGACGTTTTTGTTGCTGCTGTTGCTGTTGCTGTTGCTATAAGAATAAATTTTGTTTAAAGATATTCGAAATTTTTTTTTTAAAAAACTTTTTTAAAATGCATGCACTTACTTGTATTCGCAATACTTTTAACAAGTTTTCATGCTGCATTTGAACTTGATGTGCATGTTGAGTCTGTCCAAGGGGACCGACATGATTGAATGTTTGGGGATGTGGTTGTTGTTCTGGCACCATTGACTGATGAGGGGGAACTTGCATTGCTGGTTGTGCTTGTTGGTTTTTCAATAATTGCATAAGAGTAATTGGTTGCCCTTTAGGGGGATTGGGGCCATTTGCTGCAGGAACAGCTTGACCACCACTTACTTGAGCTAGTAATTTTTTAAATGCAGATAAATCTTCCTCAGTCTTAGTTGGTCTTGCTGGCTCAACGTGTGGAGTAGATGGCATACCACCTCTCATGCGTGCTTCCAATTCCTCGAGACTGTGTACAACTTTACCACAGGCTTCTGCAAAAATAAATAACAGTGAATAAAACACATAATGAATAACATAATCGCTACTATTCGTTTTAATTTACCCATATCTTTGATTGAAGGATTTTTCATCGGCATCATATGATTAGCAACATCTCCTTGACCATTTTGATTTGGTTTTCCTCGTTGTAACATTTCTAAAAGTTTTACTGCAGGAGCAGGTGCTTGAGAAGCAGAGATGTTCATCGAATTAGCTGGAGAAATCGGAGTAAAATAAGTATTCGATTCAGTGACTGAAGGTACTTGAATATTTGGCTCGGTGATATCATTGAGCAAATTATTGAGAAGTTCATCTTGAATGGAAGGTCTACGACTATCTTCTTGTGGAAGAGGACTTTCTTTTTTAAACCATTGACTAAAGCGAGATCCACTACCGCTATTTGTACCAACACCATTGGTCAAAAGGCCAGAAACACCAGGAAGATTATCTGATTTGAGAAAATCATCCAAGTTAAAGTCCAAATGTTCTGCTTCACGGCCCTTGCTTACATCAGATCGATCTGTGCACTCGCTTGGCTCCGTAACAGCACTCTCGCTAGTCTCAGATTGGATTTTCCCATTAGTGGGAGGATTTTCTTCTTGTTCAAGAATTGGAGAATGAGGAGCAGGTACTGGATTTATAGGTTGATCAATGGCAGTAGGAGTACTGCGTCCTTTCGGTCCTGCCGAATGGTGTTCTGTTATTTTTTCTTCCCTTTCTGCTGCAGCCTTTTTACCTCGTTTCTTCTGAGCCGGTGATTGTTTCTTCGACTTATTGTTGGTATTTCTCTCCTCAGGAGCATCATCAAAACCATGAAGTTCAATAGTGTCATGTTGAGAAATTGGACCAGAGCTAAACCACTCAGGTTCTTCAGAATCACGTGAGTCATTAGCGTACGATTTTCTGCGGTCAGACCCAAATTTTCTATCTCTACCTCCTCGGTCTTTGTCTCTTTCCATTGCTCGATCATGAGCACGGTCATTTCTTGTTTCAGAACCTCGATCTCGTTGATTATCTCTGTCTCCAAAGTCTCTACCAAATGATCGTCTCTCGAACCGATCAATCCTGTCGTCTCTATCACGAATATTATCCCGATCGCGCAGTCCATCACGTTCTCTTCCGCCGTCTCGATTATCTCGATCACGCGTCGTTGAATTTCCACTGCTCCGGAAGCTGTATTCTCGTTCGGGTTCCAATTTTTCTGCTTCCAGCCTAAAGTCCCACATGTCTCGAGTTAGCAATCGTCCACTATAAATTCGTCGAGCTGGTTCACGATGAGAAACTTCAGTCTTTCCGATCGGGCTTTCAGGACGCCGAGATGAGGGTTGAGAAATGTTTACGTAACATCCAGAATTAAAACTTCTTCGTTGAGGACTTAAAACAATACCATCCTGTTCTTTACGAATCCGCTCTCGCGGATCTCCACTTCGACGTTTATTACTCTGTGTCTCTGTTGGTTGATCGGATTTATTATTCGATCGCTGCTCTTCTTCAGATGGTGTTTCACTACGTTTTCTATCTAAGTGCCAACGTTCAGGATCCCAAACACCACGTGAACTAGATATTGAATATTAATTATAATTATTAAAAAACTTGAACTATAAAATAATAATTTCTTTATAGTATTCTTATCAATTTCAAGTTAACTCACTTATTGTAAGCAACATCTAGACATTCAGGTCGCCTTTTAGACAAAGGCAAATCCATAATGACCATAAGTTCTTCCTAAAAATGATGTTATCATTTATAACAAATTCCATGACAAGAAAGTAAAAATTTGTGAGCAATAAATAATTTTCTATCAAATCAATTACCCTGGTATATTGGAATTGGGGCCTTGATCTCCCCACTTCCACGATGGAGGTATCAGTCACCTCTCCGGCAACCGACATGGATATAATAGCTTCGTCTCCTATAAACAAACAAAATAAATATGCAGGGATCGAAATATGTAACCAAATAAAGAGAAAGCTGGTACTCATTTCCTGTAACTATATTTTTATTTTAAAATAAATAGGGTTTCTGTATGTGATTAATCAAGTACTTACTGAATGCAATTTTTTTAATAATATCAGTTGATTTACTTGAACGAAACCATTTGCAAGCTTTTGTTTGCTCAAGTAATGCTTCGTCTAAGTAAGGACAACCCGTAGGTCCGACCAACGGTCGTCTTCGTTTACGATAGCGTTGTGTTCCACTATTGGGAGTGTTCTGCTCTACTATTAACTTCATTTTCCACGTTTTGTTACTTTCTTTCAAGTTTTTAGTTTTATTTGAATATTTAAAAATTCAATTCTTTTTAAGAAACTAAGATAAAGCTAATTCAAGCAATTATTTTTAATTTATAAAATTTGAATTACGTTTATAACGGTTATATTTATCGATATAATCCCCAAGAATATTTACTTAAGAGAAACAAAGACAAAATTAAGAAACAAGCTTGCCAGCGCCTGAACTTTTCGTTAAATTTTATTAAAATATAAGAATTTAAACGATATTTGGCAAATGTTTACAGAAAAACAACGTTGCGTATTTGAAAAACTGATAAAAATTACGAAATCACTCGATTTAAAAATGAAATAGCGTCTGCTTTGACTTGAATATGAAGTACGGAAGAATATTAACTTGATCACTCGACTATCTGATTATAAACTGACAAAATTCGTAGTAAGAAATAAGCCGCCTAACGCCTTAAATTTTTTCTGTTCCTTTTCATATAACCTTTGAGTGTATTTGTATTGGTTGTCAAATCATAACACAAATTCGTACAGTATTTAAGACATTAAGATTCAAGTTCTATAGTTATAATTAAATTAGTCTGAATTTACTTCGTAATCTCTAGAAATGAATATATTTTATTCAAGATAAGCAAACTTCACATTCAAAGAATTCCTCAACTATGTGAATAATTTTTGAGTTGAAACAGTCAGAATGATAATAATTGGACATTTTAATGAACTATTCAATTAAGTACTTGAAGCAACATCTTCATTTTAACAAAAATTCAACAATTTCAAATTATTATTTTTATGTAGTCAGTATAAGGTTAGTATAATTTTGTTAAATTTTTTAAATTAAAATCAATCAAATCATATTTATAAATTATTTTAATACTTGGGTTATTAATGGTTTATGATACTATTATATCATGATAAAAAAAACAGTTTTAAAAAAGACCAAATAAAAATTGTACACATCATACAATGGCTTGATGATAAAAGTGTAAAAGAATTATCTACAAAAATAATTGTAGTGTGTACGTCGAAATGTAAATACATAGGTTAGTTAATGTTTGAAAAAAAAAAAAAATTAATGAGAAAGATACTTTAGATAATATTTAACTTGGACTGAGAGTGTATCTAATTATTCATGTAATGTAAATTTCTTCACTTAAATTTTCATAAAACTCATATCTATAAACAAACTAATATATAACAAAATGGACAAAGCTTTATTAATTATTTTGCTTAATTAAATTATACTAATTTTTTATTATTGTTTATACCAAGCTTATTCATTTTTCTTTGATGGAATTAATATAAAGTTAGTGTTTAATTCCAGATTCATGGAAGTAAGAGATCAGATTGAGCAACAAATTTAAAATATAAAGAGTAATTCATTATATTTCGTCTCTTGGAATTATATCTATAATTTAATCTGTTCAAAATGAATTCGGAAATTTGTACTAAAAAATCAATTAGTAACTAAAAGGTTTATTTAATCATTTTTAAAACCTTACAAAATTTTATTCATTCATTTTGTTTTTAATTTTCACGTAAAATATAAATGAAGATATAAAATTGTGAACGTTTGGAATGAGCATAACCTATAAAGTAATACAAATGAGAAAAAGTGTTATATTATAAATAACGAATTAGAAATTTGTCATTATTTTATCAATTAAATGAAAGTCATATTTTTTACTTTATTAGTAATTACATTACATTCATATTCGTGTAAGATTTTAAATATAGTTAAATAACGAGAAATGTCAGTATTTCGTATTTTGCTTTAAATTGGATCTTTATATGAAAACAAATTTATAGATTATTTATTTGACTTTGAATCGGAATTAAATAAAAATTATTTTCAAAAAAGTTCACATAATATTCTTGATGAATGTAATCTTGTTTTCATAAGAAAGTTTGTTAACATATTTCTGACTCATAATATAGTTAATAATAGTCGAATGAAATGAAACATTATACAGACTACAAATGAAATAATGATTTGACATAAACAGATACTAAACACTGTAACAATAAGTTCTCAAAATTATTATAGGTTTTCTTTTATAGCAATGCAATTTTTTTTATTAATTATTAACCTATATGTACAATAAAATACATAATTTTTCTCTGGTCAACAGTGTCTCTATCGATACTAAAAATAATGACGACGTAGTGTTTTCTATAAGATAGACATTAATCAATGAATGAAAGACTGAAATGATGAAAAATGATTTTTCAAATAATAAAAACATACCTTCATTTTTTGTATCCGGCTCATCAGGCCTGTCATTTGATACAGACTCAACAGACATTCTTCGTAATCTCTAGCACGTTGTTATTAGCCAAAAATGATCTTTTTTTGCACAAACACTCAAATTTGTCTCTAATTATTTGTAGTCTTTATTTATTGATGGTATCGTATGTGTGTTTTCTTGAAAAAAGTCACATAAAAAATGCGTAATGTCCTTTTGTAGGTAGAATTTGTCTCTATGCCTTAAAGGCCACTATTATGCACGTATATACGATTCTAATGTACAGATTTTTGATATATCTATCTATATACTTATATATATATTACCGTTTAGTATCACAGACTTATTTTTTTTGCCTCCTATTTGACTCTCGATATCGTAACTTGAACAAAATTGAAAACTGTTTTTTGAAATGAAGCAAATAAGCTGCAGTGGCTGTTTTCACAAAACTTTTCTTACTGGTCACTTGAACTGGATTGTAGATTCGCTCTGGTTAGAGACAGAGACAATGAAAAATCATGAAAGAAACTGAATACGATAGACATACACGTAATATTCGTATCACCACTGAGTTTAAATGATTAAACTACTAGATAGTCTTTTATACACGACGGCACTGCTCGTCAACCCGCAAAACGAGAGAGAAATGAAGAAAGAGAAAGAGAGAAACGAGTAAATGAGGAAAAAAGAGTGTTTACGTGCCAGCGGAAAAGAGTGAGTTTCATGCGCGGCAACGCGGACTGTAGATGGGTCCGTGCGCTTGTGCGCGATTTTTGATGCACGCGTTGCCGATAATCATGTCGTAGAACTCGGCTTTCACTAAAATATTATTACTTATTTTTTAGTTTATCACATAAAATCAACACATAAAATATTTTTAAGTACTACGCAAAAATAGAAAATGGCGTATAAGTCCCCACTTCCACGGCTTATTTCGCTCAACCTTAGATCGACACTTTTATTACAGAATCATACACATACACACACATCTCGAATGCCAATGCTCAGATATGTTTCCAAAGGTGCAGTGTCTCCATCTTTATTTACCAACGACTGAGGAGACATCTTCTAGAAGCTTCAGAAATTGAGACTAGCGCCGTCTATGAAACGCGCAAAAAAATGAAGTTACAAACTTGTTTGAAACAAATTATCTTAGTTAACATTGAACGCAAAAGTTTCAACAATTAAATAACAATTTAACTTATAATTTTTTTACTGAATTAAAGATAAACTTATATTATTATAATATATCTAATACCTGACACTGTGTTTACAAAATAGTAATTTTATTATGATTAATTTTATTAATTTTTTAACTATGCCATTGATACTATGAGGCAAAGTCATAACAATACTCGAATGTATATTTGTTTTCTCAGATATGGAAAAGAATAAGAAATAAACTTTGAGGTAAATATAATTATTGACATTTTAGTTTTTTTTTTAACAAAACACATTTATTTATATTATCATTTATGTCAAGTTTGTACAATTTAATCATTTCCTATCTATGCTAAGATGATTTCTTATTTATATCTGTCAATATTATTGAAGAAAAATTAATATTATTTGATAATAAAGATGTTTTGTCACCATTCTAAAACCCCAGGTATATATTTAGCAATCAGCTTTTCATAATAAGGCCAAAGTTTTTCAATGTCTGGTATTGTTTCACTTTTGGTATATAAGTCATGTTTACTATAAATAAAATAATTATTGGAATTAAAAACATTAATAAAAAATTTAACATTATCTTGATTAGTTATATTAGCTTAAATGTAAAGTAAGTACTCACTTAAATTCTCTAACCCATTCTAACATCTCATGGTCTTGTTCGTTGCAAAGATGCATGTAATCTCCTGAAGAATGCCAAGGGTAAAATGAATGATAACGTATCATAGCTAAAGCTTCCTTGGGCAACGTTGTTTTATTGTGAACTAGCACGCGATATAAATATTCATCATGGCCCCAGGACATCATAAGATTATCTAGACCACATTTTGGCTTGTACATGCCAAACTTAGTGCTGTAAAATACATATATTTTATCGATTATATAATTTAATAATTAATGTTTACAAAGATTTAATATTAAAATGTAGAATTTACTCACTTGTACCGTTTATCTACGCTATCTGGATTGTTTTCAAAACTTGTATCTCGATAGACTATTGAATCTGCCCAGGCACATCCCACAGGAAACGTATCTCCAACTACAGCCCATTGGGGTTCACCATAAAAAGCCATTACCTACATCAATTTAAAATCTACTAATCATCGAATAAGAGCTTTCATAATATCTCTACAATGAATCCTTATCAATGACTAATTATAATCAAATACTTATTTATCTGTTACCATAATAAACATACCTTTCCTAAATCATGAATCAATCCTGTTAAATGGAACCAATCTTTATCTGGATGTTTTTCTCTAATTGATTCTGCTGTTTGGAAAGCATGAATAATGTTTGGTAAGGAAGTGTCGGGATCACTTTCATCTATCAGGTCATTTAACTTTAATAAAGCCTCCTTCACAGTCATTTTGAGTTTGTCAAATTTAAGCCAATTTTCCATCCGTGCTGAAGATAAGAGAGTTGATTCATTATCACATGATCTTATAATTTATCTTAATTTGTGAGACAGTCGATATTACTTATCGAAAATCAAAATTAATTTCTATTATCAATGATGATCAGAGTACACAATAACTTCAATCAGTGAAATCAATTAGTGAAGTCTCAGACAGAATAAATAAATCTATCTCCATGTTAATCTTTTGATAATTGATACCTAATATATTGATGTAAATCTGATGAAAATTTGCAGTACAAGGATCAACAGGTGATAATAAATATTGTTTTAAACAATAAATTATGGAAGTGAAAAAAATAATACAAAATTTCTGACGGAATAAAAAGTTATTATTGCAACAAAGCAATTTTACTACATTATCAATAAATTTTTTGTTTTACAGATTTTTATTGTATTTTGTTGCAAAAATGAATGAAAATAATACTTTGGAATCAAAATGAACATAATGAGAGAATTGACAATTTCACATTGGAGATCTGATGATTAAAATGACTTATAAGTAGTGATAATGATCCGAGTAATTCGATAATAATAATGATTGAAGTATCATTCTAATGAGTAAAGTGATGAAAGAGTATGTGTTAATGAATAAAATGTTTTTAGGTCTTGATAAAAGTGATCATTAGAAAAAAAACTAACAGCGAACAAAATCAACTGTTTGATTATTATGCATTTTGTGATATGTATTTCGAACTCTCTCTTTAATTGGGTCGTTGGGGTCTTCGTAGTAATTTCTGAATTGACTCTCCAATTTTCCCGCATATATTGTTTCCGGGCGGAGTTTCTCGGACGGATCTAGCAGCGTAACCAGTTTGCTGGTAGTTTGCCCATGGGGCTGAAACAATCATATCAGTCGTTATAAACATTTGTTAACTATATAATAATTGAAATAATAATTGCTCTTGATATTTTTTATTAGCAGAAATGTATCATTATCAACATTCTATTACTATCTATCGATAAATATATTAACACATAAAAATTAAACATTAAATAAAGTATTTTTTATGCACATTTTTTTGATTTGAAAGTAATGCGAGCATTAGACTCTTGGAAACAAAATTAGCTCAAAAATGCTCATTTTTTACTATTGATTAATTTTATAAAAAAAATTTATCATTTTTATCTTAAATGTCTAAAATTATTTTACAATAAAAATCACATTACGCAATTTATTCGATTTTTAAGTAACTATTTCACTAAATTTTTATTCTTTTTCAGAATCAAAAAATTTTACTAACAAATTTATTTTATCTGTTATTAGAAAATATTAATTCTTTTTGCTAGTGAGCATAAAAAAACAGTTATTATAAGACGAATTAATTTACATATTTATAATATTAATTCAACGTCATTTACTTTACATTATTCATAAATATTTTGTATCTTATTTTCTTATAGAAAAATAATTTAGTGAATACTGCGTTTATTTGCTAGTCACCAAATAGAAATCTATTAGCTTACCCGGCTGTTGAGCAGCACGATAGGTCATAATTGTAAACATCCTGATAGTTTCAAATAAAGATAAAAATGAACTAATCAAGTGATGAATTGGAATTTAATGGGGCAAGAGTGACAGAAATTGTCAGGGAACCTCTGGCCCCAATAAATAAATTTTCCTCGCCTCGAGAAGAATTTTCGAAGATCTGAATTTGGCTGATGACGAACGCAAAGACTATCAAGTCCTTGCGCCAAACTAATAGCAATGTTTTGCTTGAAAAGCCGGTCGAAACTGACTTGATGCGACTACGTGTGCTTACTTTAATATGTTCGCCCCGCCTAAACGTAGTTACAATTGCGCGATAAGTTAAGAACAAACCAGATAATGAAGACACAAAGACGCTCTTCCCCTTCTCTTTATGAATGTAATAACAATCGTTGTAATCACCATGTGGCCTATTATCATTTTTTACAATTAGATTAGTATACAGAAATAAGTGTAAATAACCGCACACGTGTAAAATATCTGACCACAAAGAGCGAGGTCAAGTCTTAAGGTGAATGATCTTCGGGAGATTTCATAGAAAGAATCTTTCGCTGAATTAAAAATTGTAAATACTATAACTCATAATTAAAATTATTAATGTTTGCAGGCTCAAGTGGATAATTCTGCTTTTCACTACTTTATTTATTGCTATAAGCAACTGCTTTAATTTGTGGAGACGTCTTAGAATCATTAAATCAGCTTTTTAGCTAAATCCATGTATACTTAAGTAGATAAATAAACATAAGTATTTTTAGTGATAACATTTTGTTATTGCAATAATGGTTCGCTTGGCTCCACAAAATATTTTACAATACAGTCTGTTATAAAAAATTTTAGTCAAATAAATTGATAATCTTCAATGATTTTTGAATAATAATTTTTTTCTCTGAACTATTATCTTGATTAAAAAAAGAATTAAGCTCTCGTACTTTAATTTCCGCAATCTGAAGTTGATTATAAGGTAGAAAATATTTTTTAAGTAAATAAATAAATGTATCACGTAATACTCACAGCTAATTTAGAAGCCATAATGCAGTGTCAACTTAATAATCTTACACTGTAAAGTGAAAAGCAATAACTGATATTCATTTCATAATCCGGATAACTTTATAAAGTAGTGAAATTCACCCTTGACCTAACACCAGTAGATCGAGATGAATACGTCAATCTCCAATGCTTATTATTTTATGTACTTAACAAAAAAATCACGGTAACAAAAATTCTTGAGTAACATGTGATTACAACTGGCAAAAAGGAAAATTTCCACTTGAATCGTAAATTTAAATGAAAGTCACTTATCTTATGTAATTGTTTATAAAATATCCAACTAAATTGGTTATCCAACAGAATACTTTATTAGCGCTTATCACTGTAAATAAAGGCTTTCAAATTTTATCTATTTATTGTCCTTTTAAAATGACGCAAAAGTTTTAATGGCCTTAGGAAAATGTAACTCTAATTGCAAAGCTGGTTCAGTAATAGACTCATAAATTATCATCATGACTAAAGGGTCATCCAAATGAACATCATTTGGTCTAACAATCCTTTTAAAATAATATCCTTTTATTATAGCAACAAATGAATAATAGTTGAGCTTAGATGCACTGTATATATTTTTTTCCTTTCAATGACATCAATGAAATAAGTACTTGCTATTATATTTATTGCGTCGTGATTGAATCTTTCCAATTTCTTCTATATGAACTATTTAATGTATTTAAATGCTCTTTTGATAATACATCTTACTACTGACAAAAGAAAAAAATTTCATGAATTAGGATTTATGATTAAGAGTATTATAAGATAAACTTGTGCACTGGCAGATCGTGGACTGCTTCATGATAATTGCAAATTTATTACTATTGGGTCCAGAAAATAGATAATGAAATTATTTCGAAGAGAGTTAATAAAAAATATGCAAAGTCAGTTTAAGTATGTCATTATAATTCTGGCATTGAAGATAAAAGTAAAACTTGTGTAAAAATCTATTCGTACATGATAGGAAAATTTATTGATAAACTCATCACTTATCTATTGCAATCTTTTAAAACATGGTAACAAACAACATACTTGGCATTATTTACGACTTCACATAGTATAAAATCATTCAGCACTTTTGAACAAATCATATTTACAAATACAATTCTTTGTATCAATATTATTATAAACATTATTTAAAATTCATTCACGACGAACTTGAGCCTGAATCATTAGAATCACTATGATTTCGTGAACGTCTCGAACTTTGATATTTTCTTGAAGGTGATCGAGATCTGTGTCGAGAAAATGATTTTTTGCTTTTTTTTATTTTTTGAGATCTCGATGAACTTGGACTATCATAACTACTGAAATAGATAAAAAATAAATCATTTAGAATGACAGACAAAAATTAATTTTAATATTAAGAAGTGAGATGTATGAATTTTATGATGTAATATTTACCTCTTATGAGAACTCTTCTTTTTTTTATGTTTTTTGTGAACTCTATGGCGATCAGAGTGACTATGGCTTCCACTTCGACTTCTAGACCTTGATGCTGATCGTGATCTTGACCCTGATTTTGGTCTTGATCGTTTCACTGCAATTTCTGCACCTTTTAATCTATTCATTAATGAATTGTTACCGGATCGTAAATCATCGATCTCGTTCAGAGATGGAGATGGAATAGAATGAACTTCATCACCATCATTATCTGTTTTCACATCAGCATTTTGCTTTACCAAAGACGGTGTTTGTATCTGACTTAAAAACATCACTGCTTTCTTCCTCCTTTCAAGTTGAAGTTGTCTTTCGCGCGAATTTGACGCAAGTTTATCTCTAGCGGCCGCGGCGAGTTTATCTTTAATTTTGTCTTCTAACAATTTACTTTTTAAATGATTTTGGCCATTTTCAAGAATATCGTCAGTGAGATCTACCAATTCTTTGTCATCTGTCTCCTTATTTGTATCTCTTGGGTTCGTGTCTGACTCTTCTTCATGGCTTTGTTTTATAAATCGATTCTCTTCAAGAATTACTTGAGGTGAATTTGGTTTAGAATTATTTTCTTTCTTTTCATCTTCAATTTCTTCATCACTTTCTTCAATGAGCAGTGGATTTCTTTTTTCTATTATATTTCCATCACCTTCCTTAGGTTTTTTAATAGAAAATGATACAGTTGTAATTTGCTTATCAGTTTTTTTCTTTGCTTGAATCATTTTAACTCTCTTTTGAACTTCTTCCATTCTTTGCTGTTTTTTTTGAAGTTCTTCTAGTTTTTTCTGTTTTTCTTCTTGTGGTTCTTGTCTTCTTAATAACTCTTCTTCAGTTAAAACTTTAGGATTCACAGCACCTTCATATATTGTTAATTTATGAGCATAATATCCATGGTATTGATGGGAAAGTTCAAGGAAATTAAATCTAGGATCACCTTTTGCTTTGACTATTGCTTCAAAGTCTCGACCATTTTTAGCAACATAACTTGCCATCTTGTCAATAATTATTTGTACATCAGCAGGAGGAACAATAAATGATGGTCTACTTAATGGTTTAGGTGGCGTTGGACCATAAGGTACAAGAGGTACTGGGGGTTCTTTAATAATTGGTGTTGGAGTATTATCGTTTGATCCTAGTACTCCAGGTACTAGTATTCTTGGCGGTGATTGAATTTGGCCATTTGTACCATAAATTACAGGACCGTGAGAATATTGTTGAGGTGCTGGAGGGTAAGGCATGTATCCCTATAATTATATAAATTGCATGTAATTAATATCAGCTTACAAACACCATATACATCATATCTTTATTCATTCTACATTTTGTCAACTTTTAAAATAAAATAATTATTGAATAATATCCTCTAAAGATGTTAATTTTTTTAATTAAAAGAAAAGTCTTACTTGTACTGGTGCTGATGTATAATATCCTGCAGGAGGCATCTGCTGCACCGGAACTTCTGGTGGTGGTGGTGGTGGTGGCGGAGGCGGAAGTCTTGAAGGTGGAGGCTTACCAGTAATTTTATTCACCAGCATCGAATATGCACAATCTGCTGATGGTTTGTAGTGTATACTCGGTATACTGGGTGCCTGTAGAACAATTTAAAAATTTATTAATACTCTGTCAAGTGAGGAATACATAATTTCACTATGTTTGACCAGTCAAGCGATATTCGCGATAGCGTTTCCTAAACATTGTATTAAATAGGTGAAATAAAAAAGTAATCATTACTTCGGTTCATATGATTAATTCGCAACATTACTCAAAAAATTTTTTCGCTACAAATATCGTCCGACAGGTCATTAATCGCGTTCAGCATAGTGCGGATTTAAATAACAAAAGGACGAATGGTGGATCCAATGCATACCAGAACCAGCCCTGGAAACAGAAATATTTCAGGAACACATTAGCAGAGCTAGTACAATGAATATTTCTAAATAATGATAAAAATAACTCGCGATTCGAAGGTTCATGTCATATGTCAGGGTTAAATACGTATTATAACTTTCAATAAACATCACGAATCTTCGATAAGTCGCGAGTTATTCGAATGCCAAAAAAGTCTCCAACTCTGCACTCACCAAACAGAATCGAATAACTCTATAGGCATTATTTACTTCGGAATTTCTATGATTAAAACTATATGTCATTAGAAGAGTTTAAAATATTCTAGGCAAAATTTAATCAACCTACCGCTTCAACTTTTGTCAATGACGATGCAAGACTAGGATGCAAATATGGTTCATCATTATCTTCATCAGATTCGTTCTCAGATTCTGTAATAATAAAAATTATTAAAACCGAAAAAATTATGGACATTATTTTATTGTTAAATAAAAACTTACGAGATTCTTCTTTTTCAGGTTGTTTCTCTGGATTATATTTTCCCGATTTGATTGCTTCAAGTACTAATCTATAATACGGTTGCAAAGGACCGTCGATGGAAAGGAATGAAAATTGTGGATTATTAGCTTGTTTTGTTTTGATTAATATTTCCATTTGACTTCCTTGGCGGCTTATAAAGAGAGCAGTCTTTGTTATAATGGCATTGAGCTTTTGTGTTTCAGGCTATAAATAAAAAAGAGCTGTTAATTAAGTTACAAATTCAAAAAAATCTACTATCTAATAATTACCAATATCATTCCTTCCGGGGCTTCTAACTCAGGAGGTAAAACAAATGCTTGATCTTCTTCTTCTTGAGATCCTTCTGAAGGTTTTGGACTTTGCGAATCCTCAGTACCAGCTGGTTGACTATCTTCATCATAATTATAAGCAACTTGTCCATAAGTATTATCACCTCCCAAAGCTTGTTGTAGTCTTTTCATTTCCTCTTCTACAAAAAATATTCATTGTCAATAGAATTTATTTATATTTCGTTTATTTTGGAAACAGAAAAAAAAACAATTTGGACTCACCATGATACATTAACTCTTCAGCATCGTTGTTGTAAAGTGAACGATATCTTTCCTCATCACACAGCTGCTCAACTTTGAGTTCATCCTCGGTAAGAATTGTACGTGCATCAAAGCCACCAGGAGGCGGCTCATGACTCCGCAAATCCGCCAGTGCCCCGCGTCCATCGTATCTATAGACACATAACAATTGTGTTAAAAGGATGAAACTAAAAGATTTATTCTATGGATCAAAAAATTCTGCTCTGCATCTGAAAATACAAAAATAATATGATAAAAGAGTCCTGTGTTTGATGTAAGCTGTAAAAGAGAAATAAAAGTCATATATTTTTTTACGGTCGGCCAGAGGGATTGATTTAAACAATAAATTATGTAGAATAATTAGCTAAAAATGGTCATAAAATTTTTCAATGGAAATTGTATGATATAAGCGCAGGTATGTGGGGTTTCGCCAGAACTTACACAATTTATCAAATAATATTGGAAACAAATAAATAAAATAAATAAATAGATAATAAAAAAAATGAATAGAACATAAAAACCATTCGCTCTGAGCCACACCGTGTTGGTGAATTGTGGTCAGTATACATACCGGGCCGAGCAGTCGTAATAAATACAACTCTCGGCTGTGGAGTCTCTCTACCCTGTGTCTCTCACCTTGCTGGAGGGACGCTCGGCGACATTTACGGCTTCTCAAAAGACCCTATTGTTCGCTGGTACGGGGCGCAAAAACGCGCTGCCGTCCTGCGCGAACGTCGTTGTACACCTGCAGAAATCTTAAACAGTCTCCAGATTTCTTATCCAGAACATAATCTCCCAGACATCATTTATTCTGAAGAATTTGTAGAGTCTTAATCTCTCGCTGTCATTCTCCATCTTCTTATCTTTGTGGAGTATATCTCTACGTGTTTAAAACGTACTGGTGCGTTAACGAGAAGAAAAATAATAGTAATTATATCCTAGACGGTATAATGGATTCTAGGTTACAAAAACGGACCTGTCTATCTTCAACGTGCTATCTCCCATCCATGGTATCAAATGCTTCCCATGATCAATCATTTTCGCCTTTTCATCGTCCCGAAATAATTTGCAGCTGTATCCAAACACCAACAGTTCCTGCGGTTCCTCTTCATTATTTTTTTTACGAAGAATTCCGGAATCAACGAGCCACCGTAAATTCTTTGACGCCATTTCTCACTGAACTGATCAAAAAATAATCAGTATGCGTCTCAGACTAACACTCCAGTTGGCAGCACTGATTAAATGCATACGACCCCCGCACCTCGATTGATAGTTATTTCTACGCATGCTCGTCTTGTTCAGCAATAACTATTTTCTCTTCGAGGATTGGCTCTCTTAGTTATTTCTGTCTAAAACTTCCGGCTGATAAAATTTAAAACAAATAAAAACATATATGAATTAGGAGTTAAATAAAATGAAGGGATTAAATGAACAACAAATAAATCATTTTTTCCTAATTTATTGCATTCAATATATTAATTTTATTAATTAGGTTAAATGAATAACAAAATTTTCATTCTATATTTACAGTCATCACAAGTACTTTAAAAATATGTTTAACTATAAGAGTGACTAATTCTAATTAGATTTTGATTATTGTAAAAATATTCTATATATTTGTTAGCTGTGGTGATTATTATCAAATTGTTGTCTTAAATATTTAAGTCCTGCTGCAATTCTATCAACATTTAGATTTGTCTCTTTATTGACATTTATAATCGTCTTGTTTACATTTATACAAGCATTACTATCACTCGGCAATGGAATTTGTGAAAGATCTTCACTATTATCGATTAACAATGTTGGTGGCATAGGTCCAATAATCTCTGAATCATCACTATCAGACTTGTCACATGATTTATCTTTGTGTTCTTCATTTTCATCCAGATTTAGGGAATTTTTCGTGTTGGAATTAATTAACAATGATTGATTTGATAATGTTTTACTGATAAAAGCATCGGGACAAGAAGGAGGAACATGATAAAAGTCATTATGTATAGGGATATAATTTGAATTTACTAAAGGTTGCATTGAAGGAATTATAGGTAAAGGAGGAATTGCACTAATAATAGAAGGAGGAGATATAGAAGTATCGAATAATGGTGGAGGTACAGGACAAACTGGTACAGAGGTTTCTAGAAGATTTTTTTGAATTTGAAGTGCATTATTCACTCTGATATTTTGATCTTTCATAGAGTTAAATTCGTCAACATTTTGTCCTGAACTTGATTGATCTGTTTCATTACTGACAGGATCATTTTGTTCGCGACTCATTATACCTGAAGACTCCCATAAGTCAGTAGGTTCTGGGCCACTGCCAGGGATTCTCAAAGGATCATTACTATTACTTTCTTTTACAAGAAGTTGATAATCTTTATTTTCTTGAACTTGCTTGAGAAATCCTGCACTTTTAAAATTATCATAAACAGGAGCAAATTCTCCATGTCGGTCTTTACGACGTTTTTCAATCCATTCCTCTTGTGATAATTCGTGCCATTTTGGTCTTTTGCCTAAAAGCTCACCAAATGCTTTGATTTTATCTTCAATAACTGCTAAGCTTTGTTCTTCTTTTTCAGGTTGCTCACTATTTTCATCTGATTCATCTGTTTTTGAAGGTAAAGTAACTGCATTCATATCTTGACTTAATTCCTTAGTAGGTTGTTCTGAATTTGTTTCAACAGTTTTTTCATCATCAGACTCTGCTGGAAGCCCTGCTCTTATTCTTTGTCGAATTCTTGCTGCTTTTAATCTGTTTTGTTCCATTTTTTGTTTCAAATCTTTAATTTTCTGAAGCTCTTTTTGCCTTTCTTCTGTTTCTTTTCGTAATTTTGCTAATTCTGCTTGTTGTTTTGCTCTTTCAGATTCATCTTGAGAAAAAGCAAAGTAACCCACACCATGACTTCGTGCTTCATCGAATAAAATATCTTGATAGTGAATATCTGTTTTATGTGATAGTCTTTCAGTCTGCTCTTCCCATTTTTTCCTCATCATAACAATTTCTGGCTCTTTTTCTGGCTCAATAAATATAGGTTTTTCAACTTGTTGATGTTCCTCTGGAGGATCTTTTGTTATTTCTTTCTTGACTAAATTATCTTTATCCATCATTCTAGGTAAATCTCTTCTCAAACATTTCCTTGTTCGTCCAAAGCAGTCTTGATATTCAACCCAATCTTCCTCTGGATCGGAATTTTCATCATCATAATCTTCTTCTTTATGAATATCGTCTTCGGATTCATCAGATTTGTTTTCAAAATCTACTAAATAATGATGATCACCATCACCATGGCTTTTTTTAAGTTTCTCATACAACTTAGATTTAGCTTGAAGCATGTACTTGGATTTTTTTAACATGTTTACATCTTCTATTTCTGTGACTTCAGGCACTTTATTTGTCTTCTCTTTAGAAACATTCTTTTTTTTATTTTTTAACTTGATTTTAGGTACTTGTAAAGTAGTAGAGTCTACTTTTGCTTTAGCATCTTGAACTTCCATTTGTTTTCGGAGCAATTCAGCTTTTAACCCCACGAGTGAAGAAAAGTTGACATTAATTTTTTTTGAATTATTCATCTTTATGTATTAATTTATTTATAAAATTCTGATAAAACAAAATTAAGTGTCATCACCTAATAACTTCTTTAGGTTATATTATTGTTTTTTAACATACAGAGATCTGTATCCAACGATTTCACAATTCATATTGTTTAGTACATAAATTGATTATGTGCAGCGCTACATTCGCTCGTATAACAGTATACTACAGTCAATCTACAGTATACTGTAAATATATGATTGGCTGTTCAACTGTACGTAACGACCAAAATCATTTTTCTAATTGGTTGAAATATTCAAATCAAATGCTTCATTTGACTTCGAGAAAGAGAGACTGAATGTTTATCTGGCAATTTGAGTAGATAGTTTCGTTGATTGAAATCAGTAAAAGTATTTTCACCATAAAACTTGCTAAACTTAAATAAATAATATTTTTATGTTAAAAAAAATGTGTTCAACTATTATATTAGCAAACAAGTGACAGTGAAATTAATAAACTTAAGACATCTCTCCTACTTCACATCTAGCATTTGAAGGTCCAAAACGACCGTTACAAAAGTCAACATTCAGTTTTCTAGTTGCATTAATACAAAACATTGAGGTATAATGGGAAATTATACAAGTAAATTGTTTTCACATCATCATGATGATAATAAAATGAAATTACCTACAACTATTAAATTAGGAGTAATGGAAAAAAATCAGCCATGCACTCCAATTATGACTAAAAAACCATTAACAGCTGATCCTAGATCAGCTACAGCTGAAATTGTCAGAACTCCAATCGAGGTAATACTTAAAAAAATTCTTGTATTATTATATCATAATATTCATTTTTTAATATTTATTTAAAAAAATATCTATAACATGAAATTACAACTCTTCAGGCTGTTGCAACCCCAACTGGTCCTAATCAACGAATAGCAAGTGCCATACCTAAATATCTTCGAACTAAACAATACCTTGAAACTGACATTGATAGTGTATTAACTACAATCAATCCAGAAACTGAACTTTTTGACCCCAGATCTCCGAATGTTGATCACCAAAGAACACCTATTTCAGTAAGTGTTTTTTAGATGAAATGTTAATAAAAATTTTTCATACATGCATTAATTTTTTTATGACTTCGTAAACGTTCGTTCATTTTACTTTTTTTAGATAAATCCTCCACAAAATTATTTAACTCCCATTGTGCACGTACAGCAAGCATTAAACATGGATACACCAGAAAATACAGCAAATGGTTTAGATCCAAGATCACCAGCTACTGATTTCGATAGAACACCGATAATGAAACCAAAATCTCCTAAACTTCCAAATTTATCGCAAGAGAATGGAGAAGAGAAAGGCAGAATATCAAAATCACAAATAGCTTATTGTGAAACTACTATTGATTTAATGCCAGAAATCCAAGTCCTTCCAGAAATTATTTCGCATAAATCATCGATGATAAGTAAACGATTATATTTGAGTGCAACCACTGATAATCAGCTGGATAACACTTCTGATAATAAATTTGGCTCAGATGAAAGTGATCCAGAAGATCAAGTAACAGTAATTCAAAATGTTAGATCTGTATCTAACATAGAACTGACGAATTCCCCTGCTAAAGAGAATAATCAAAAAGAAATGAATAGAAATATCGTTGAACCGACTAATATTTCAAAAAAATTATTTACGGAATCTGAAGAAAAAATTCGAGTCTGGAGAGATTCAATATCACCTGAAATATTAAGCGAACAAAAGACTGAAGGATTTGCGAAACGAGAAGAAATTATGATTGAGTTTGACGAGAATCAATTAGTTCACAAGTCTAATCAATTGAAGACTGAGGTCGTTTCATCAAAAGTTGATGAGAATCTGAGAAATAAAGCTTCAGGTGGAAAGAAAAAGAAATCTCATCAATCTAGAAAAGACAATAAAATCGTCTTCGAAGATGTGAAAGCATTTAACGGAGATGGAGCGACTGTAAGTGCCAATAAAAATCGTACACCTTTAGCAAATAGATCGAATAGTCATCATAAAGTAGAAAATCTTACAAAGTCACCTCAACATTTACTCAGAAATAAATGCCTTTCGACTCAATCACAACAACAAGAAAATACTCCACCACGGAGTAAACAATCATCAAAGAAAGCAAATTTTACACATTGGGATATGGATAAAACAGTTATCATTTAATTTTCATTTTGTTTCATAACAATTTACGTTTTCAATTGTAAAGCAACATTGAATTTTTTTTAATCAATTTTTTTTGTACCCTTATTCGAATAAGATGAAACGAATTTTCAATTTTTCCATGAAAAATTATCAATCATTGCAAGCGTTAAATGTTTTGATTTTAATTATAATTATCTTCTTATTTATAGTGGTGATAATTTTTTTTATTCACCAAACTTTTTAGTTAAGCAACGTAGTTATTTATTCATTAATTTGTTGTGTGTTTTTGTATATTTTTTAAAAGTTCATCTTCGAATAAATGATTAAATAAACATTTTGATTATTATTTTGCCATTATTTAAGTGCAATACTGAATTTACATAATTGTAAATACAATATTACACTTACACTTAAATGTATGTATACATGCCCTGTATGCCGACTGAAACGGAGCAACGATCTCCTAACCTAAAATGTCTGAGCGTCATCGACACATTGATAGGTAAACACGTGTAGGTTGCACGCTTTGAATTATCGAATATTATTATTTTTTTAATTTTCTTGAATAATAATAAGTGAAAATATTTTCTAAAAAATGGTATAAAGTTTCACGTTTTCTATTTAAAATAATTAAATAAAGACAATGAAACTAACAAACGGTCATCCAAAACAAACAGAAAAATTAAAGGTTAGGAAGAACAAAAGAAAATTAGAAAAGGAAAATTTTGAAGAAAAGTATGAAGAAGTTATTGAAAAAATGAATGATGAAGAAAATCCGAAAAGGATTCGGTTTCTTTTGCCAGTTAAAACCAAAGAAGGAGTTTTAAAAAAAAGAGTAGTTAAAGAAGAAATTACAGAAGATGCAGAAGAAAATGATGTGAATGGAGATCATAAAGGAAATGTCAGTGCAAATGATGAAGATAGTGATTTAGAACAAGCTAGTGGAGATAATGAGCTTATAGCAAATCTAGATTTACAAGTGAATGATGATGAAGAAGATGAGACAGTATCACCTGAAGAGCGAAAAGCACGAAGAGAAAAATTACTCAATGACAGAAAAATAAAAGTTGGGTTACTAGCTAGTAATTTGTTGGAAGATCCAGAAAATAGAATGAAAAACTTGAAAATTTTAATTGATATGATGGAAGAAAATACACCAACATTTATCGCATTAAAAAAAATCGTAATAATTTCATTGCTAGAAGTATTTAAGGACTTGTTGCCTTCTTATCGTATTCATCAAGCTAAACAAGAGGGAGTAAAATGTATTCTCATTTTCTATATAATTTATAATTAATTATACTATATGTTTTTTTTATTTATTTTAACTGTATATATTTTTTTTTTTAGATAAAAAAGAAACTCTTCATTTGCAGAATTATGAATCTATGCTTCTCAAATATTACAAAACTTATCTCCAGAAATTAGAAAAATTGGCAGGAACATTGAGGAAGAAAAAGGGAGATACTCGGGTTGTATCTGAATTGGAAATACAACTTGCAAGAATATCTATTTCTTGCATGTGTGACTTATTGACAATACATCCTTATTTTAATTTTTCACTTAACATTACTGATTTCCTAATTCCTTATTTAAACAATAAACGACCAGATATTCGTGAAAGAGTTGCTAAATGTTTCACCCAAATATTTAAAGAGGATAAGAAAGCAGAATTATCTTTGACGATTGTAAGAAAAATAAATCAACTTATAAAATTGAAGGGTAATTCTATGCATACAGAAGTGCTGTCAATACTCTTAGCTCTTAGAATAAAAAATGTTAATCTTGATAAAGAACGTGAAGAAGATCATAAACAGAAGACACTTATGAATCATAAGCAGAGGATTCTATCTTTAAGCAAACGAGAACGTAAGAGGAATAAAAAATTGGAGCAGGTTGAAAAAGAATTATTAGAAACCAAAGCAGAAGAAGATAAAGCAAAGTCTCATAAAATTTTAACAGAAATAACGACTATTGTTTTTACAATCTATTTTAGAATATTGAAACACGCTCCAACAAGTAAACTTCTGTCTGTCTGCTTAGAAGGATTAGCGAAGTACGATACTAATCATTTTTGGTTTCAGCAAAGATATAATCATGTAATATTTACATTTTGTACCTTTCTTACAGATTTGCACATTGTATCAATTTAGACTTTTATCAAGATTTAGTGAATGCTATTAACCATTTAATGGAAAATGGATATCTAGGACAACGAGAACAACTCCATTGTATTCAAACAATTTTCATGATACTTTCTGGTCAAGGTTCAGCATTAAATATTGATCCCCAGAGGTTAGTAGGTTACTTTTATTAAAAATATCGAATTGAATTTCATTAGTTATCAATTGTATTTACTTTTTCAGATTTTATTCTCATCTTTATCGAATTTTATTAGATATCGATCTCACGACTTCTCCTGAAAACTGTGAAATACTAATCAAGTGTTTAGTTCTATCTTTAATTAATCGAAGAAAGAGAGTTACCCAGAATCGTTTGATTGCTTTCATTAAAAGAATAATGATAATGAGCCTTCAATTACATCATCATGAAGCTCTAGGGTTTTTAGGCATCATAAGATCTTTATTTCAAAAATGTAAGTTTGTAGATATTCTACTAGATACTGATAGCAATGTCGGAGATGGATGTTATCAACCAGAACTGGAGGAGCCTGAGCATTCTAATGCAAGTTGTGCAGCATTATGGGAGTTGGCAGCTTTACAAAGACACTATCACAGTATTGTCCAAAAATTATCTAAGAATATTGCTGCTGGTGTTCCAGTTACTGGAGAAGGGAATCTTGCTCCAGAAATAGCTAAATTATCACCAGAAGAGCTTTATTCTGAATATAACCCTTCGGGTCTTGCCTTTAAACCTGCAGTTCCGGTTCCAAAAAAAGTAAAAATTAAATCTAATTTTAGTAAAAACTTTGTAAGTGGTGAATTTGAAGACTACATTCGAGAAACTGATAATACATTATTGTCAATAGCGAAAGATATAGATTTTTATAAGATTTGTAGAAAAAAATAAAAATTATTGGTATATAAAATATGATTATTTATTCCATTAAATTCATTATTATACTTATTTATTTTGTAGTGCTTCACGAATAGAATTTTTTACTGACGTAATACTTGCTTGAAGATCTGTACTAGGTTTCACCAACTGCGATACACTGAAAAAATTCATTCTCATTCTTTTTCAGATATAAGTAAAGATAAAATTTAATTCGAAGCCTATTATAACTTACCTGGCATCGTTGACAATGATACGTCTTTTAGTTTCATTCAATTTGGGCAACAATTTGATAGTTATTCCTTTATCTACTTTTTTAACAGCAGAGAATATTTTCATATTAGGAGCAGTGAACTGAATAAGTTTTTTTGTATCGACTAATTGAGGACGTAGTACTTTAACTTTCACATCATTATTGACAGTCTTCCCTTTATAATTTTTCATTCTTATCTTTTTTTCATTGATTCCACTATCATTAGAACCATCATTCTGTGAATTATGAGTAATCGAACTACCTGAGTTGCTGAACTGTCCTAACGACTCTTTTGCCGTAGGTAGGCTGGGTTCAGAAACTGGTCGTGGATCTATTTCTCTAGGAATTCCATCATAAATATCAGTTATAGTCCTTCCAGGATAATTCTTCGAAAGCCGTTCTTCGGTTAATGGTAATGCAGGATGACGTTTCTGTCTATGATATTGTTCTCTGTAATGGAATAATTACGTTTTACATTTCACATAATGACATTTTAACTTTATATCGTACTTAGGTTCAAATTTATCAGATGTCAAATTAATAGCTTCTTCTCTTTGTCTTTGTATTCTTATTGCGATTTCCCTACGTCTCTGAATCAATTTTTTTCTGGTTTCAGCTACTGATTCTAGTTCTGGAGCATAAAATACATGTAAAATTCCTCCATAAAAGTTCTTTGTATCCAGGAAGCGCTTTGCAATTCTAAATATAATACAAATAATAAATTAAATATAACAGATATGCATTAGAAAAAATAGAAAATTACGATAATAATTATCTAATTGATGCATAAATTTTTTGAAATCTCATTTTACCTAGCACTTTGTATTCTTTCATAACGTATATGGAATGTTTCTGTAAATTCTTCAGAAGGATAATCAGGAATTATGGTTAATTCTTTAATTATACCATAAGGAATACTGATTCGTCTTAAATCTTCAATCAAGTTTAATTTAGGAACACCAGTTACAATCAAGTGTTGAGATTCATTATTGATGGTATAAACCTGTTAAATAGAGCTAAAGTGTCAAGGAAACATGATAGATTTGGTAGAATCTTAAATAAATAATAAAGTTCAAATAAAAATTGACGTGGGATATTTCTAAATACTAGAATATAAACTCATTAATCATAAAAAGATAAGAGAGTATAACTAATAAAGTCTTGTAGCAATAATAGATAAAAGTGGTAGTGGCTAATCTCAATTAGCTAAAAACTAATAGTTTCAAAGGATATTAATTTTAATTATTTGTTGTCAAAATTAATATTGAAGTTAATTACAATTTTTAGGATACAATTCTACCTTAACCGCTGTTAATTTCTTTCCTTGTCTATAAGACGGTCTTGTACGACATAACTCTTGCTGTATGTGATGTTCAAGTTTTTCAACGCTGCTCAGTGAATTAGCCATTGTTAAATGAAATAGTTCTTTAGACTTTATGAATAATAAAAATATTATGACAATTGTTTATGTCAAAATAGTAATAGTCACAGTGCAATCACAATAATCAGACAGCATCAAAAGCGAACCAATCACGTGGTAAATTTCATTGAATAAATAATACACAACATTCAGGGATACATATATAGTCTGACGCATTTGTTGTTAGATATATGTATAGTATGTGCGTAGATATTCGGTTTTACACCCCTGCACACCCCTGGGTTTTTCGTATGACACTTCGGTCGAGTTACTCAGGGATTATCAGTAATAGTAAGCATTTATAGTGCTTCAGTGATGAAGTTAAAATATTTGATACAAATGGAGTGGTTTGAAGGAACTAAAAAAATGAATAGTGATCGTGGATAGCGACCGGCGTGAAAATGGCAATCTCAAGTTGGATGATTTGGGGTAGGAGTCTACGCACGAGTAGACCACATCGCAGTAAGTTTTATATTTAATTATAATGCTTATATTGTCATTGTTATTATTAATATTTAATATTTTTATTCATACCATTTTTTTTTAGGTCGTTCGGATCACGAGAGTAGTTGTATTCAACTTGATCTGTCAAAAGGTCAGTTGAATAACCTCATTTTTTAATTTTGATTTTTTTATATATATTTCAAAATATGTTTTTTATATTAATTAATTTTATGATTATCACAGGAGTGCAAGAAAATATTCGAGAAGTTTTGACGAATCTTTGTTTACGTCAAGGAGTTTCGAGTGTGAAAAAGTTAGGTTATTTGAATGCTATTGTAAGGCTCATCAGTGACAATGACTTTACTGACTTCGGTTACAGTCTTGAAGAAATCCTTTGCTGGTAAATATTAAAAATTTAGTTCATAAATATTAACAAGTTGATTATAAGAATCCGATTACTGAATGGAATCAATAACGATAAATAAATATAAATGCTTTCTAACTTTTGCTGTAACATATTTTAAAATTTTTATTGATAATATAACACTTATTTCTGAAACAGCCTTCGGGTGGGACTTGTTCAAGAAGCAACTCAAGTACGAGCAGCAGCTTTACGTGCAATTAGATATCTGGTTAAAAAGCAAGAGGATGTTCTTACGGTTAATAAACTCCATTATCCATACTTTATTGCTCGTAGCATGGATATCAATTTAAAAAATGATATCGAAAGAATGCAAGCTTTACGACTGGTAAGACGAATACTTGTATTGGCACCAAAACATTTTAGCCCAGTATTGGCCAGATCTCTGATAAGTTTAACAAATGGAGGCCTTGAAGAGAAAGATCGATCATTCAGAGTGTTTTTAGCAACACTTTGCGAACTGGGTGTATTGAATTCAAATTTATTAATCAGCTGTGGTGGTGTTGGTGCTCTAACGAGAGCAGCAATGACTGGTTTGAGTCCTGCAATAATAGAATCGATCATTGGTGTACTTTTAAGATTATTAGCAAATCCGGAAACACGGAGTAGTGTATCATTGATGTGTTTGGCTTCGCCTTATTGTGAATTACATACATCAATAAATGATCGATCACGTGAAAATCGTGAAACACGATTTGCTGCAAGTAAACAAGCTTTACTAAGTGTTTTACGATCTTATTCTGGAGTTATAAATTTTTGTAATCCAAATGACAATGCTGGACTTAAAGCAATTGCTGATATTTTATATGTGGAACAATTGGAAGTACGTGGTGCAGTTTTAGAATTATTATATGAATTATTAGGGCTTCCTTTGCCAATGTGGACTGATGAACCAGACGTTGCTTTAGCCGCTGTAGATCCCTGTCGACAACGTGAAAATTGGAAGCTTTCAGAAGGATTTGTAGCTGCTGAAGGAAAATCAGTCTTACCTTCTCTTGCTTCTCATTGTCCAAACATCACTGAATTACACCTATCATTACTCGTTTATATTTTACTGGAATGCGGACTTCATCGTGCACTAGCTGAAACTATTGTTTCTGCAGATACATTTATTTCAGTGCGAGCTGCAGTACTTCTCGGTGGTTTACTTCATCTTGCTCACTCACTTCTTCCTCCAGACGTCTGTGATTTAACACCGCCTCTTCCAAATCTTCTAGAACACGCCAGTCTCGGAAGACATCAAGCTTTAGCAGCTGTTACGATCCTAGGAAGAATGCATGCAATGATGCGCCGAAAACCAGCACCATCTAGTCTTTTTCTTGATCGGATTCTTCAATCAGGTACATGGCTATTGCCCTCTATGCCTAGACGTCAAAGAACTTCGAGTCGAAATTGGTTGCGACGTGAATCACCGACAACTCCACTACTTAAAGATGCTCAAGTACTAAGCTCTAAAGATGCTCTTGCTTGGAATTGGCCGGTAATCCGTTCAATCTTGCGTTCGCGAGAAGACTCAGTTTTGGATTCTGACCATAAATTGTTTATGAAACGCTTAGTACGTTATTTTAAACCTTCTTCTAATACATTTAGCCGTGTAGAACTAATTACAAATGCGAGTTTAGCGCGAGATGCAACTTTAGCAGGTTGTGATTTAGTTAATTGTCTTCTTGAAATGCACGAACCAGAAGGAACTAGACTGTTAAATGAATTAATCAGCGATATTGCTGATCAAATTAATGCTATCAAGACTTTACCATCTGCTCACGAGTGTTTATTCTCACCACGGCACATGACTACAACGTGCTGCCAAAAATACTTTTTATTTCTTGGCCAATTAAGCCATTCGGCCAAAGGTACTGTTATTCTTAAAAGCTTCAACTTATTGGAGAAACTTGAAGACTTGGCTATTGCCACTAATCATGACTGTTATGTCAAACTCATTATTTCTACTCTTGATTATTCAAGAGATGGTCCAAATAGAAAAGTTTTAAGGAAAATCATATCATCAGCTAGTGTGGAACAAACACGATTATACGCTACACAATTTCTACGTTTGATACTCAGAGCTAAGATAACCGATGCTTGTCAATGGGCTTTGTCATTAATTGTAGATAGACTAGCAGATGATAGCAAGTCAGTTGCTTTAGCTGCATTGGAAGCTCTTCATGAAATGTGTGAAGAGCCTGGATATTTGGAATCATTTTTTCAACAAACTGGTCTCAATCGCGCGTGGGAAAAATGGCTTCCAAATTTGGGTGATCGTGGATATTTACTTTTTATTCGTCTATATGCGCTTCAAGCGGGTTTTACAAAACTTCCGTCCCCTGTTGAAGAACTAGAAAAGTGGACCAAATCAGATGGCTTTTCTGACAGATACGTGGGTCTTATTGAAGGTGAAATCCATGATTCTCTAACTAGAAGACAACGTAGCGAAAACGGAAGCTATCCAAGAAGATCTAGTAATATGGTTATTTTACCCCGTGATGTTTTCATTCCTCCTCATTTAATTGGACAATTTGTTCAACACGAATTAGGACTGCAATTGTTGATGAGGAGAAATGTCTTTCAAAGATTTGCTAGAATTATTCAAAGGTTTCGGCCAGACATTGGAACTACTGATACAGAGTCTTATTCGAAGGCAACTAAAAGTAGTAGATCATTTATAGACGATTATCATTTGGTTTCTGAAGAATCTGGAGCTGAAGATGTGGTGGAGTCAATAACTAGACTTGAAACAATCATTGACTCAGAAGTAATGGAAACAAATGATTGTCGAACACCACGAAAGACCAATTCTTTTTTGGAAATAAAAAGAAAGTTAAGCGTTGATGATTCTCAACGTACAACTCCAGAAAGAAGTTTTTATCGTGAGGACTTAGATCAACATATCGACTTAGATGAAAAATTAGTTAAAGTTAAATCAGCTCTTTGGGCTTTAGGACATGCAGGTACTTCACCAGCAGGAGTAGAACAACTCCAAAATCTTGGTATAATTGAAATGATAACTACTATGGCCGAATCTTGTCATTATTACTCGATACGTGCAACAGCAATGTATGCTTTGAGTTTAATTAGTACGAACAGTGCAGGCGCTGATGCACTAACGGCACTCAATTGGCCATGTGTGAGATATAGACGAGGTGATTATTGGCCTGTTGTTCCTTCTACCAATCCTTATACAGTACCAAGTCCTGTTCCTATTCAAAAACATCATCGTAGTCTCAGTGATGGTAAACCAGAATTACCTGAACCTTTGGTGCGAAGGACAAGAAATCGTTCAGAAAGTGCAGCAACAGATATTGAAGTCAAACGTTATGCTTTTCCGTAAGTACTATCATTTTGTTTTTTATTAGAAATATATTTTATTGTTATTATTAAAATAAATTTGCAATATTTTAATTTTTACAGTGAAAGAGGAGAAACACCAAGTCCTGTTTCAAGCATACAAAGGTTAAGTCAACAAGATGCAGAAGGTTATGCTAAACTTCGAAGTTTACAAAGACATCGCAGGCCGAGTTACTCACATAGTAGTTTAGAGGTAATTAGGGATTAATTCAGGAAGAAAATTATTGATAATTTTTATTTATTTAAATAATTTTTACAGATGTATAGTTCAGATGGAAGACTGTCATTACAAAGTCTGTCAGAATTAGAATCATCCCGTAGTTGGACGACAGATAATATGCTCACTACAACTCCTCTACCTCCTCCGCCATTACCTCCACGAGAGGAAGATCCCCGTGACTCATGGTATATGGGCATATGTCTTCCAAAAAATCTATCAATATTATTCCCTCATACTTCTCGATCTTCTTTATCGTTTTCTGTACCTGAAGGAGAAAGTATTAAAACGAATACAGATTCGAGCAATATTGATGAAGAAAATAGTTCAGAGTATGATATTGGTAAAGATCATAATCAAATTTGCTTAGTATGTTATAAAAAAAATATTAATGAGGGAAAAGTAATGAGCGAAACCGATGCTAAAATTCAAAGGTAAATCAATATTTCAATCATATGTACCTAAAACTTAATATATAGTTAAAAATACATTAAAACATGAAATTAATATTTTCAGGGATATTTTGAGAAATACACAACGTCTATCGAATCCTGTTTTGTATCGCTATAGTCGTCAAGTTTTATTAAAGTTAAGACAAAGTTATCCTGAAAAATTTCAAGTGAGTGATATTATTAAACAAATTTCAATACTGACAAAATTATGAATAATACAATTTATTAATAAGTGGATGATTACGTTAATAGGATACGTGTATTTTCTCTGAAATTGCTGCACGGTTAGGAAGTGGAACGTATCGTTTGCCCGCACGTCGATTTCTTCAGGAATTATTGTTGGATTCTCCATTCGATGCAGTAAGAGACATGATAATATTTAATAATTATTTTTGTGTTAAATATTTAATTTGTAAAAATAACGTTTTATTTCTAGTTGTATGTAGAACCAATGAATATATTAAAAATACCTGTGGGAACGGAGGAAAATCCAGCACAAGGTTCAATAGGTTTAGGAACAGATTCATATACGTTAGGAGTTAGTCCATTGAAAAGAAAAGTCAATGGAAGACTGACTATTCCTGAAGCTGATTCAGAATCATCAGTTGCTACAATATCTGAATTGATAAGTGATTCACAATCACTCAGTGGCCGTTTAAAATCTCCAGAACCATCTCAAAAGACAGAAAAACTCAGTGATGAAAAAATTATTGCCGAAATATTGAAACCAGCCCAGAGACTTCGAGTATCAAAGAGTTCTGATAAATTATTAAAAGTAACTAGTAAAAACACTGCCATCAGCCTTGATTAGTACTCCAATATTATTATTCTGATTATTATTATTATTATTATTATTATTATTGAAAATAATTCAACTGTAAATATTTTATATTTAAGCGATTATGCAATATAAAATTTGAAAAATCGATATTTTCTAAATGTGAATGTTTTATTAATTCCTTTTGTTTACTTATTTAGTGTATACATATTTAAACAAAATGACTATGATTTAATAGTTACAGTTTCATACGATTAATTTTCAGGTAATTTGAGAAGATGTATCTTTATTCAAGAAAAAAAAAAGATAACATTTTCCAGATATCATTGAAAAGTATAATTATCATATCAATGACGTCTCAAATTAATCATTATGATAAAAAAATTCTCATTCTTTTGGTTTTAATGTATAAGTGAACAAATATATAAACTTTCTCATTGCAAGCGTTTGCAGATATTAAGTGAATTTAGAGCATTGTTCATATTTATTTTATATTTCATCCAATCACTAGAGAAATAAAAAAATATTTTTTACAATGGTTATTGCAAAGAAATATGTAATTGAAAAATATTTCAAAGGAGATCCCCAATTAACAGATGTGAAAATAGTAGAGGAACAGTTACCATCAATCAAAGATGGAGGTATTTATAAAGTTTAATTATTTTTATTTTTAAAATTATTTTAAAAAATTTACTATTTTGATTTTAGAATATTTGGTGCAGGCTGAATATCTATCAGTTGACCCTTACATGTGGAAATACATGTCTCAATATCCACTTGGTTCAACAATGATAGGATTTCAAATTGGAAAAATTATTGAATCTAAAAATACTGATTTTCCTGTTGGAAAATATATTTTTGGTCATTTGGGCTGGAGAACTCATACTATTGTTAATCCTAGTACTTCTGATCCTACGAATACTTTAAATTTCTCGACTTATCTTATACCTGACCTCGGTGATCTTCCGATATCACTTTGTCTTGGTGTTTTAGGCATGCCTGGGTACTTATCTCGTAAAAACATATATTTATTAAACGAACATGATTAAAAACAATTATTTAATGATAAAAAATTTTTTTAACGTCATGATACTTTCATTTGATTACTTTCTGAATTTTTGTTTCAAATTTATTTTTCAGCAACACTGCGTACTTTGGGTTCACGGAGATTTGCAAGCCGCAAGCTGGAAATACATTAGTTGTTTCCGGAGCTGCTGGTGCTGTTGGTTCTCATGTTTGTCAGATTGGTAAAATCTTGGGTCTGAAAGTTATTGGAATTGCTGGGACTGATGCCAAATGTCGATGGCTTACCAAAGATCTTGGAATAGACTATGCAATCAATTATAAGACACAAGACATTGGTTCAGAGTTAAAAAAAGCTGCCCCTAGTGGAATTGATTATTATTTCGACAATGTATGAAATGATTAGTAATTTATATATGATATTGTAATAATCAATAATTAATGAAATATATAATCATATTTATTTATAGGTAGGTGGAGAAATATCCAGTACTGTGATGTATCAAATGAATTTGATGGGAACTGTTTCAGTTTGCGGTTCCATTTCAGCATACAAATCTGAGATGGATGCTTTACCAAAGTGTACAGTTGTTCAACCAGCAATTTTAAAAGGACAATTAAAGGTAGAAGGTTTTATGGTAATACGTTGGGCAGATCGTTGGATGGAAGGAATTCAACAAAATTTAACATGGATTCGTGAAGGAAAACTTAAATATCATGAAACGGTGACAGAAGGTTTCGAAAATATGTTTAATGCGTTTACGAGTATGCTTAAAGGTGGAAATACCGGAAAAGCTGTAGTTAAAGTGTAAAATAACTTTTATTATAAAACGAATAAACTTATAGTATATCAGTTGCAAATGGTAATGTATCAAAATAATTAACGAGATCATGTTGTTCAAATTTATTTTCTTCTGATTCCGACTCATTTGATTCTAAAGAGTGAAAGTCTTGTGGAATATAAATATTAGAATAAGAGGAAAATAAAATGTCATTTTTCGGAATATTCTGTAATGTTATCCATCTGACAGCTGTATCCTTGTTAATACATTTTCTAAAAGTTATGCAATGCAAATGTTTCAATTTTTCATATGTTATTCTCATAAAACCTAAATTAGCTAAGACATATCTCCATGATTTCATTATTTTTGCATTAGCATTGACATGCTTTGAGTCAGGAGTAATTATTATAAGAAGACCAGAATTTTTCAGTAATTCATAGGCTTTTTCACAGCATAAAAATCTTTGCTTTGGGCATGGAAAATATTCTAAAAGTAGAGAAAAAACACAAACATCAAATGAATTTTTTCCTAATTCCACTATTCTCGTTTTATCTTCTGAAATAACTGTTTTAACTCCAAGTTTAACATTTAAAAAATCACATTGTAATACTTTGTCGTCATATGGTACTAAATCAATAGCAGTAACGTTGAAATTAATATCATTAGCAAAAGGATTATAACAACTCCCAATATCTAATAAGTTAATTTTGCTAAAATTATCTTCTTTCCAGGGTAAAGATGTCTCTAATTTTTCGACTGGCTTAAACGATGATAACTTTGAAATTATTTCAATTTCTCTCTGATGAAATTTTCTTTTACCTTCTTTTAAAAAATATTCGAAACACTGATGTTTAATCCATTCAATTCGACAACGCACATTACCATTTGAAATTTTATTATTAAGATCCCAATAAGTTGTGGCTAACTTTTGCATTGATGTAGCATACTCCTGGAGAAAAATAATTGAAAATCGTATTTTAAATATTCGAGATTTAAAAAAAAAAATAAAATTTATTAAGAAAAGCTAAAAATATACCTGTAATTTTTGAGTTTGTGCAATGTGGCGAGACCAAGCTTCTTCTGGACCTAATTTTTGAGAATCATCTCGCAAGCTAGTATGAGTATTTTTTATTATCATGGCCAAATGTTTATGATTTTCACAGGCCATTATTTTGCGTTGATCTTTATAATAATGGATAAAGATTACATATGTAAACTTATGAAACGTGTAAATAATCAGAATAATAATAAAGTTCAATTTGTATTGAACATTATAGATATCTACCAATAATACTCATCGCTCAATAGTTTAGAGTGCAACTTTATCATCGCTGAAAAAAAAACTCAGTCAAAGGATACTGTCTTACCTAAAAGCCCAGAAATGGCTTTTTCATGTCACCGGGAATTGTTAGTTGGTACTCTGGCCAAAAGATGTCTGTAGTGGACAATTTGTTGGTTTTTTACATTTTTAAAATTGAATTTGTCCATCATCGTTTTAAAGAAAAATAGTTTTATCTATTTTGGAGTACCTTTACGTGATTTTTAAAATTTTTAGAGGATTTTCCCATTTCAATCCTCATTTAAAAGAGTTCAGGTACATTATTACCCTAAATTTTGGCCCTTATTCTATCTGAGGTTTTATTGCACTCTTCAAGGTTGGCAAGGCAAATATAATTGTCAAAGGATACAGTTTAACTACCTAGGCTGAAAAATATAAAAAAGAAAAAGTTAGCCATTTCCAGAAACGTGCTTGGTCACTGTTATTCTAAACCGTTGATTTATAATATCATGTACTAAAATTCAAAAATTTAATTTAAGTTAAAAATAATTATTATAAAAACAATTTTTCTTTTAATGTATTTTTTTATATCTAAATGTTTTATATAGTATATTTTGATGACTAGATAGAGAACAATTTAATTACACATAATTTGAGATTACACATGAAATGAATTTCAATTAATTTCATGGAATAAAGTTGTGAAAACGCAACTTTAAATAATGTACTAATTATTCTCATTCTATATTTCAATTAAAAATGTACCATTGAAAAATATTAATTTAATATATATCTATACAAATATTAATTGAAATTAATTATGGCAAAAAATGTACAATATTGTTGAATATGTGCTTGGTCCCTGTTACCCTAAACCGTTGATTTATAATAAATATCATACTAAAATTCGAAAATTTAAATCAAGTTAAAAAATAATTGGTAGGAAAAAAAAAATTTTTTTTTAAAATGATCTCATCTTAGTACGTTGGTAATGTTTTTTACCATACGCACTTTTTTAATCATCGATCGATTTTAAAACAAAAAAAAGACAAAATAATTAAAAACATTAAATTATAATGTAGTTCACGACATTTCACTTCACTTTAATCATGCAAAAAAATAAAAACAAAAGAATCTAATTTTTATCTCCGTCGTTCGGTCAGATTTCAATTAATTTCATGACATAAGTTTTTGAAAACGCAACTTTAAATAATGTACTAATTATTCTAATTCTATATTTCAATTAAAAATGTACCATTGAAAAATATTAATTTAATATATATCTATACAAATATTAATTGAAATTAATTATGGCAAAAAATGTACAATATTGTTGAATATTAATCTTAAAGAGTACAATTTAGTTTGAAATACACATAATGTTTTCACTTCTACTGTTTAATTATATTTTCTAAAGCAAATTAATTAAGAGCACTCTATTTTATCACTTAGATTTTAGCAAAACGACTATTTATTACAAAGTTTCTTATTAATAATAATTAAGGAAAATAAATAAAATTGATGATTCATTTGTAGAAATGCCGCTAGAGGTATCCAATACGCTACCAGGTGGCGCACAATATCTAGTCAACCGGAGGGGTTTTTCAATCACTCGAGTTTTTATTCTCAACCTGTGCACATCGTGTAATTTTTGCTTTGTGTATATTCTTGTTAAAATACAAGTGCAATTGTGTTAAGTAAAGAGGAAAAGTGAGTGTTTGTGATAGGGAAATATTTAATTCATACTGTTGAGGTGAAGTGATTAAACAATGTCAAACCGAAGTTCCGAAGGTGGTAAAGGGATGATCCCTTCACGATGGTTATCATGTCCTCGCAAATGTATTGGATTAATAAACAATAAATTTCTCGCGTTCAAAACACCACTCTCTGATGAGTTTAATGATCAAGTTTCCGAAGAATGTCGTTTTTCTGTGAATATGCTGTTTGCATCATTAAAGTGTCAAAGATTGAAAATGGGATTACTAATAGATTTGACAAATACCACCAGGTTTTATAATGAAGCTGATGTTGAATCTCATGGATGTCAGTATTACAAGCTTCAATGTCGTGGTCATGGAGAAACTCCCTCCATAGAACAAACAAAAGTTTTCATCAAAATTTGCAGAAATTTTATTGCTCGTAATCCATCTGAGATCATTGGAGTTCATTGCACCCACGGTTTTAATAGAACTGGGTTTCTTTTAATAAGTTACTTGGTTGAAAGTAACATATTCAACTTGGATGCTGCTGTAAGTGAATTTTCAACAGCTAGACCTCCTGGAATTTATAAGGAAGACTACATTAAAGAGTTATACAGGCGATATGATGATGAGAATGATGCACTTCCTGTACCACCATTACCAACTTGGTGTTTAGAATACGATCATTTGAAAGGAAATGGAGAACAACATACTCAAGGTGGAAATCGTGAATATACTCAAGATCGAGTTTTCATGGCTGGAGTTCCTGGAGTAAAACCAGTACGAGATTTAGCTAAAGTTATGGGAATTCAACGAAGAGTTCAAAAAATCTGCAAATGGAATAGAAGTGGTTTTCCTGGTTCTCAACCTGTCTCTATGGATCAGAATAACATAATACAATTTAATATCAGACCATACCAAGTATCATGGAAAGCTGATGGTACTAGATATATGATGCTTATTCAAGCAAACAAAGAAGTGTTTTTCATTGATAGAAATAATAGTGTCTTTGAGGTATCTGGATTGTCTTTTCCACATTGTAAAGATGTTTCAAGAACTCTGAAAGATACTTTATTAGATGGAGAAATGGTTATTGATGAAGTAAATGGTACCAAATATCCTAGGTACTTAGTTTTTGACATTATCATATGTGATGGTGAAGATGTGACAGACTTATTTTTTATCGAGCGATATGCTATAATCGAGAAAGAAGTGATAGGAAGCCGAATTAGAGCATTTAAGGAAAGCCGAATACAACGAGATCAAGAACCCTTTTCTGTTCGTCAGAAGCAATTTTGGGATGTTACACAAGTGAACAGTTTACTTAGTGAAAAATTTGTGAAACAATTGGGTCATAAACCAGACGGCCTGATCTTCCAGCCTTCGAAGGAGCCCTACATACCTGGACCTGCAGCAACCGTCTTGAAGTGGAAGCCACTATTGTTGAATTCAGTGGATTTCAAATTAAAAATAGTCGTCGAATCAGGTATGGGTATTTTATCACAAAAAATTGGTCACTTGTATGTTGGGGGTTTAAGCGAACCATATAGTTCTATTCCGATTACTAAAGAAATAGAAAAGCTCGATGACAAAATAATCGAATGTAGTTTCAAGAACGGTCGTTGGGTATATATGCGGGAAAGAACCGATAGATATTTTCCTAATTCGTTCAGGACTGCTCAATCGATTTTGAACAGTATTAATATGCCAGTAACGTCCAAATATATAATAAATTATATCAGTAAATTTAAATTCAACGAGAATTGGGAGGATTGCTTGCCTCCACCAGCCAAACGACGGAAATAAAAATTAGATTTTTTTGTTCTTATTTTTTTGCATGTTTTTAATTATTTTGGTTTTTTTTTTTTTTTTTTTATTTTTTTTTAAAACGATCGATGATTAAAAAAGTGCGTATGGTAAAAAACATTACCAACGTACTAAGATGAGATCATTTAAAAAAAAAAAATTTTTTTTTTCTTACAATTATTTTTTAACTTAATTTAAATTTTCGAATTTTGGTATGATATTTATTATAAATCAACGGTTTAGGGTAACAGGGACCAAGCACATATTCAACAATATTGTACATTTTTTGCCATAATTAATTTCAATTAATATTTGTATAGATATATATTAAATTAATATTTTTCAATGGTACATTTTTAATTGAAATATAGAATGAGAATAATTAGTACATTATTTAAAGTTGCGTTTTCACAACTTTATTCCATGAAATTAATTGAAATTCATTTCATGTGTAATCTCAAATTATGTGTAATTAAATTGTTCTCTATCTAGTCATCAAAATATACTATATAAAACATTTAGATATAAAAAAATACATTAAAAGAAAAATTGTTTTTATAATAATTATTTTTAACTTAAATTAAATTTTTGAATTTTAGTACATGATATTATAAATCAACGGTTTAGAATAACAGTGACCAAGCACGTTTCTGGAAATGGCTAACTTTTTCTTTTTTATATTTTTCAGCCTAGGTAGTTAAACTGTATCCTTTGACAATTATATTTGCCTTGCCAACCTTGAAGAGTGCAATAAAACCTCAGATAGAATAAGGGCCAAAATTTAGGGTAATAATGTACCTGAACTCTTTTAAATGAGGATTGAAATGGGAAAATCCTCTAAAAATTTTAAAAATCACGTAAAGGTACTCCAAAATAGATAAAACTATTTTTCTTTAAAACGATGATGGACAAATTCAATTTTAAAAATGTAAAAAACCAACAAATTGTCCACTACAGACATCTTTTGGCCAGAGTACCAACTAACAATTCCCGGTGACATGAAAAAGCCATTTCTGGGCTTTTAGGTAAGACAGTATCATTTGGTGAAACCTTCAGTGCTCCCATTCTAGATGGTGCAAAAGGTTTATTTTGTATAAAAAGACATTTCTAAATTGTAATTTAATAATTTGCATATAAGTGGAAGAATTCAAAATAACTAATAAAGATTTATCTTGAAATTCGTTATGGCGTTTCAATTTCTATAAATAATTTACTCATTATACTGGAAAATTTATGTCAAGTCATAATTCCTATTTTTTTTTCTAAAACTTTGTGTTCCAAGTCAACTCATGAGTACATAACCTTTCAATCTTCCGCTGAATTGTGCAATTTTCTACAGTATTGCGATTGGATTTGCTTAGGTTGGATTGTATAGTTTATTGTAATACTTTCACACGAATGAGATTATTTTTTTTTAGTCTGCGAGTGGGGAGTAAATTCGTGTTGAAACAAAGTTACTCGTACATTAGACCAACTGTCTCTCAAGTAAACAGAGAATTTAAAACCGGCATTAGTTCTTCAAAAACTAATCCAAATTGGGGTTCAACTAAGACGAATAGGAAAGTTAAATTACTTTACCCTCTTGACATGGCAGATCCAAAAATTGAAGAAGCATTGGCACCACTTCGTGCCAGTGTTAAAGAGCAGGTAACCATATGGATGACATTCACACGTGTTCATCAATAATCAATCTACTTTTATTTAATAATTTTATCAGTTTTATTCTACTGTTGAAGAGTTATTATTTTTAATGGTATTTATTATTATTTACAATTTTTTTTTTACAGGGTGATTTGGTGAGGAAACTTAAAGCAGATGGAGCACCAGAATTAGATGTTAAAAAAGCAGTCGCTGAACTCAAGTTTCGTAAAAAATTGTTGGAAGACAAGGAGTTATCTTTTGTATCAGATACTCAAACTTTTGATCGAGCAAAAATGGAAGACCTCTTGAAAAGAAGATTCTTCTTCGATCAGTCTTTTGCTATTTATGGAGGTATTACTGGTCAATATGATTTTGGACCAATGGGTTGCGCTTTTAAAGCCAATCTTTTAAGTGCTTGGAGAAATTTTTTTGTGTTAGAAGAGCAAATGTTGGAGGTTGATTGTTCAATTTTAACTCCAGAGCCTGTTCTAAAAGCATCAGGCCATGTAGATAGGTTTGCTGATCTCATGGTTAAGGATGTGAAGAGTGGAGAATGTTTTAGACTTGATCATTTAATTAAAGCACATTTAGAAAAAATTGCTGCTGATAAGAAAACTGATGATACAGTCAGAGAAGAATGCAAAGATATTGTTGTCAAACTTGATGGAATGAATAAAGATGAGATGGCTGCAGTGGTCAAAAAATTCGAAATGAAATCGCCATCAACTGGAAACGATTTAACTGATCCAATTGAATTCAATTTGATGTTTGGAACACAAATAGGTCCTTCTGGTTTAATTAAAGGATTCCTAAGACCTGAAACAGCTCAAGGAATATTTGTTAATTTTAAGAGGCTTTTGGAGTTCAATCAAGAACGACTACCTTTTGCTGCTGCTCAAATTGGAAACGCTTTCAGGAATGAAATCTCTCCTCGTTCTGGTTTAATTCGTGTTAGAGAGTTTACCATGGCTGAAATAGAGCATTTTTGTGATCCAAATAACAAATCTCATCCTAAATTTGAATCAGTTAAGGATACTGTTATGCTTCTCTACTCTGCATGTAATCAAATGGATGGTAAAAGTGCTCAATCAATTCCTATTGGAGATGCAGTCGTTTCAGGTCTTGTAGCAAATGAAACGTTGGGTTACTTTATGGCAAGAATTCAACTGTTTTTAATAAAAGTCGGAGTAGATCCAAAGAAGCTCCGATTTCGTCAACATATGAATAATGAAATGGCTCATTATGCTTGTGATTGTTGGGATGCAGAATGTTTAACTTCTTATGGATGGATTGAGTGTGTTGGATGTGCTGATAGATCAGCGTATGATTTAACTCAGCATACTAAGGCTACAGGAGTAAGATTAGCAGCTGAAAAGAAATTACCTGAACCTAAAGTTGTTGATGTTTGTGAAGCAGTGCCTAATCGAGGAGTTGTGGGAAAAAACTTTAGAAATAAAGCAAAGAGTGTATTAGAAACATTATCAAAAATAGGAAAAGAAGAATTAAATGATTTAGAAACATCTTTAGAAACTTCTGGGACATTTGATCTAAAATTAGATGATGGCTCCAATATTTCTATTACGAAGGATATGGTGATAGTCAAGAGATATCAAAAAACTGTACACGTTGAAGAAATAATTCCTTCTGTTATTGAACCTTCTTTCGGAATAGGCCGAGTAATGTATGCAATCTTTGAGCATAATTTTAGGAAACGTGAAGATGATGAAATGAGAACTTTCTTAAGCTTGCCTCCAGTGGTGGCTCCATTAAAATGTTCAATTTTGCCTCTTAGTGGGAACGCAGAGTTTGTTCCATTTATTAAACAGCTGTCGCAAGGACTAACGAGAGCTGATGTTTCACACAAAGTTGATGACTCTTCAATAAGTATTGGAAAAAGATATGCTCGTACTGATGAAATTGCAATTCCATTTGGCATCACAGTCGATTTTGATACTTTGAAAGTTCCTCACAGTGCTACTCTGCGAGAAAGAGATAGTATGGGTCAAGTCAGAATCAATTTAGATGAAATTCCTGGTGTTGTGAGAGACTTGGGTAATGGGAAAATTACTTGGGCAGAGGTAGAAGCCAAATATCCTAAATTCGAACAACAAGAGTGTACTAAAGCTTAGTACTTGATATATATTATTGATGAATATTTTGCTTAATTTATTATGTAATAAATATGAGTTGATTTACTACTCTAGATATGAATAGCGATAATTAAATATTTAATTTTACAATGAAATTGTTAATTTTTACAATTTTTTAGGCTTACAAGGAAATTATGTCAAGTATTTCAATTTTCAAGCATTTTTCAACAGCATTTATAAATAAAAAAATTTATTCAATGAAAATTTGGTACATTTTCTTTTTATTTCATTAATAAGGGTAGAATTCAATTTTGAATCGCACATTCATTTGAATAAAATCATTTTTAAAAGAATCAATGAGACTTTCAACTTCTTTTTGCCAATTTTCGAAATTATAAGGTTTTTCATTCGGTGTTTGTATTTGAATTGAAATGTCCTTCACTTCTAAAGTAAATATTTAAATAATTTTTAAACCATGATGAGAATTCTAATGAGAACATTACTTGATTGCTTCATTTGAATTTGACAACACATTGTGGAAATAGTTTGTAGAGTTTTAATTTCTCCCATGAACTTAAAAGTTTCTAATTTGGGTAAATTGATAAAGATATTTTTCAAGAGATGATCTAAATCTTCACGTTGATGCCATAATCGTAAGTTTAAATCAACTATTTTAAAGAATGAATAAATATTTTATATAATATATCTATTCTCACAGCAGGAAAAATCAAGAAAGTAAAATGAAAATTTCCTCTTTATCGATCTTCAACAAGAACACATTGGAGAGTGTGCTGCTGAAGAGAAAAGAATCGAATACTTTACCTAGAGTTTCCGGATACCAAGACCAGAGGAGTTTGATAAAACAGTCAACCATCAGTGGAGTCTGAGTTTCTAGATCAACTTCTGATGATAATACTAGAGTATGAAGCGGTATATTTTCCGTGAGAAAGTGTTGTTGCTGTTCATATCCTGTTATTCGAACTGATGTAAAAAAATGACAAGTTATATTGCTTTTTGGACATCATCGTAATTTATTTGACTGTAAATTTTCTTACTGAAAACTATTTGAACTTTTAATGATGGTGCTAACACTTTTACTTTTTTCCATGTATAATCTGGTATTGCATAACTACGCACTTCATCATGTAAATTTGGTATCACTGGCATTTCTTCTTTTGTACAAAGTATTTGAAGCCATTCTCATTGATGACTAAGTGTTCTATAAATAAAATATGAAAACGTATTATATAAATATGCCAAAATTACTGCTCATGAAATAATTATGATTATTTTTCTTTAATTATGTACTTAGCTAATTCAATGAGTGACTCTTCATTTGGTATAGCTAAGTAAATATAGTTTAATGAAATAGTAGTTAATTTATCTAAACTTCCTAAAGCTTTTAAACATTCATTAAATTGTTCAATTCTATATTTATTAAAGAAAACTTTTGAATTAACAACGTTCCTGTAATGTTCTGAAATAAGATTTTCCATCTTCCCAAAAATGTTCCAGCAGTATAAATTTTTTAATGTATGACGCAAATTGCACAAGGCCGATAATAAACGAAGACCTTCACTCTTCTTTAATCGTAGGTTTTCTATAGAGATAACTTCGCAAGCATTCTGACGTCTGAAATTTAATTTAGTTTTTATGATCTTTAATTTTTTTTAGAATACAAAAAATTTGGTTTATTTCACTTATTTTTTTATAATTATTAACAGAAATATTTTAATTAGTTAAAAAAGTTTGATTTTATAATGTTAATACTTTAAGGATTTAATCTTATTTAAATACTTTAAAAATGTCTCCAAGTAATCCATCACCCGTTTTCTGCTCAAATAATCGAAGCTTTCAATCTTTACAATCTCTCCGGTAATGAAAATTGTAGATCTCATTTTTTTACTTCTTGATAATCTGTTATATCACGCCAATAATAATTTGCATTTTTTCAGTAATATTTTAATTTGTTAAAAATGTAATAAAGAAACTTAATAGAAAATATACTTGCGTAGAGTTTCCAGAAGAGCAATGTTTAAATTCTTCTCGAACCAAGTGTTATATTTTGCGGTTGTCGAGTACAAATACCAGTAGAAGTGAGCCTGGGCATAATAACTTTTTAATTATTGTACTAAAGCACCTCAGGATTATAGACAGTAATTAAGTTGGCAATTTCCTAGTACTTTCGTTCCAAGATGTACACTTACTTCCCTCGAGGATAACTGGAGATTTGGCATAGGTCGAGGGAATATTGCTCTCTTGCAATGTAGTACCATTTTCCAGTGATGATGAGACCTTTCTTCATGCCACTTCCTTTAATTAATCAATTATTGAAGACTTTTGAATGGAAAAATATTGAGGTTTAGTTTAAATTGATTTTACGAAATATTTTAATTACTCTTTTAGTTGTTCAACCATTGTTAAAAAATATTTGCTAATTTAAAGTTTATAAAATATGTGAAATTTTATGAATACGTCATCATGTTCTTATAATAAAGTAAGAAAAATATCGATTGATGAAATCAAAGTAATGAGTCATATAACATGATGTGACATTGCAATCATTAGATAACAAGCGACGACAGATGGAATGAGCGTGAAGTTGAAGAGATATGCAATTTCTGTGCTCCAAGATAATTCATTCTCCAAAGCTGTACGATAGTTTATGAGTCTACTGGTGCTGATGAGCTTTCTTGTAGTAAATGTGAGAATGTAAAAAGAATAAGAGAGTAAGGGAATTTTCTTAGTTATACTTTTTATGACATCCAATAATTTTTCGGAGGCATTTCTCTTCGTGTGGGAAGTAAATTCATAGCAAGCTCATTGCTCATTGAGTTATACCATTCTTGCTTTCTCTTGTCAATGCGAAATATAAATTCAGATGAAAGAATAAAGAAACTAGACAGATCATTGATGGCTGTTGAATTATGGTACTTATGGTTATGCTAGAAACTGCTTTTAATGATTTGGAATGCTCATAAAATAATTCTATTTAAAATTTCTAAGATAGCTTGTTTAAAACTTGAATATAATATTTTTGTTCATATGTAATAATATTTTTAAATAAAGTATAATTTTGTATTTCAGAGAGAACTAAATATGGAAAATACAAAAAATATAAAAAAAAACATTTTTCATTTTTGTGTTTGACCAAGAAAGAAGAAAAACTGTTTATCAATAAATAAAAAAATGACGGAGATTGAAGAAATAAAAGAGAAATAAATATACTTTGAGATGACGTTAACGGTTATGCATTCTCAAGAGGAAAGCTTTTGGATGGCATAGCAAGAGATACTTGATTTGGAATAGAATGAAGATTTTTCTCACTTATATGAAATTTTTATTCTGGATGTTCATTATATGGAATCTCAGCTGGTGTGAATATTATTTACGAGGGCGTCTTTGGAGCCACTTGTCGCCCACGCGACCACCTCATGAGTAGAAAAGAATCCCACAATTGTCGAAGATAAATAAATATATGAAGGAAAATAATAATAACGAGGCGTTGTGTGGCACACGCGAGAGGACCGTCCAGTCACACTCCTGTGGTTCAGTCAAGAAAGAGAAAGACTTAAATGATATACAAGAAGAAAAAGTAAACAAGAGAGAGAAGAAAAAAAGGAGGAATCTCGTTGAGAGAACTGGTTGCTTAGTAATTCATGCACCCTTTACTTTACAGCCTGATATATTTATTTTTTTTCATTTTTTAATTGGTGTATAATCATCTCTGCTACAAATTTCTTTAAATTCTATGCGTAATGATAATAGTAAACTCAGGTAATTTCATTTTAAATAATATTTACCCTGTTTTTTTTCCTGTCTCATTTAGATAAGTTATGCTGATTTTTTTTAAATACCATGCAGTAAAAGTACACTAAAATCTTGTGGATACGGTCCCAATTATCTACAGTGGCTCTCACATAGTTTCTATGAGCGGGACGAATACCATGAAGCAGAAAAGAATACACAATGACAAGAGAAGGTTGAAAAAATATGTACTCATACAGAGCTTTGTTGTTTTTTAATCCTTTCTTCTCAGTCGTGTGAATCGAATTATTTTGCCACGACTCGTTTATGTGCATCAAGAGTAAAAGCTTGTTTGAGAGGACAACCAGAAACGGGATGGATGGATGGATGGATTTCATGTAGGTGTGAAAACGATTCACTTTGTGAGATGAGTCTGGGTATACTCATGGCTTAAGCGTACTTTTTCAACTTTGATTCGTTATCTTACACATTCTATTACTTTATGATAATTCACAACATCACATTGTCATCAACTTCTTTATAATCGTATTTCACCGGTTGAATATCAAGTTACAATTTGTTACGAGTTGATGATCGCTCAACAAAAAAAAGTTGAGTTACCTTCTTTTATGTTTAAAATAGTGAAGATTTTAAACATTGCTGACAAGTTTTGATAGGAGTTGATACCTAGTAAATTAAAAGCAGAATAAACTATAATAGGCTATAATTCATTGGTGTCAATTAATGATGATCATTAAAAATGTCACTCCAGTGATGTTATAAAGTAATCTGAAACGATGAGTCTAACTGCTGATCAAGAAACACCGCGGTAGACCTGGACCACACAAGCAGGTGTCGATTAGTGTGTTAAATTTCGGGTAAAATACTTTATTCTGAATTTAAATAATTCACTACTTGTCTCTTTTTTTGCTTATTTATTTATTTATTTTGTCAGGCATTCTCTTTGTGGTTGATTTTCACAGCGGAAATACCTGAAATATCAGGCAAACAAAGATTTGACATTTTTATTTTTACTGATTCTACAGTTTGGAGCAAAAAGAAATATTATTGAATTGCTTTTATAATTTATGAACAAGAAAACTGGATGATTTTTGTGATCAGGGTTTTGATTTATCGTTTACATTAAGAATTCGAACGAACGAGATTCACACGGCTATATTCAAAGTCTCGATAGCCTTGCTATGCGGGTATCAAAGGTATAAACATCATGGGAGAATACTGTGCAACCCTTTTCGCTGTCTTTTGTGAGTGCCAAGTTCTTCCTCCCGCACGTAATCGCAGTGTAGACGAAGACATGATAAAACTGGTTGAACTGGTTGATGGCATGCTTGGATATGCGAATTCGGAATTCTTTTCCTAATTTATAGCATTTTTCATAAAAAATAGGTAATCTTATAAAATTCAACTAACAATTAATTGTTTAAGAAACAAGTTAATTTTGAAATCATCATTGATTTGATATCTATTAAAAGATCAATTTATTCATATTTGATATCAATATGAAAGAATTGTTATCTAATTTTTGTTGCTAATCATAGATATTCATATTTTTAGGTACATTATCGGGATTTTATTATCAACTCATGAAAAAATACAATGAATGGTTTGCTTTTAACTAAAAGAACATTCAAGAATCTACTTTCCCACGTGGTATGCAAGAGTCCTTGAAGTATCCAAGCGTCCTCGAATCTACTTCTTGTCTGAATATCTTGTGTAAGTAAGCACTTATTCGCGTTTACAAGCTTGGAGAAAAAGCCTTCATTGGAATGGTCTTGTCACAAGATTCATCGATACCTTCAGGCAGTTCCTGTAGTCTACGGAGCCTTCAGAATGTCGAAAATTTAAAAGCCTTCGATGGTGATGAGCTATCATACTGGACAAAAGATTCACTCTTGTTCCCTCGGTTCTCATCATTTTCAGTGCACTTTCAAGGCGCTTTCGAGTAGGTCGGGAGTGGTGTGCGCTGGCACCTTGTCGAACTTGTAGGCGGTTGCCGCCTGCCTGTCTTCATACCTTCAACTTGTACAATGGCCAACATGGCAGGAGCGACGCAAGGAGGAGCAACAGATAAAGAGAGAAAAACTCTTTTCGCCCACCCGACCAAACTAATAAGTATTGTCCCTCTCACACATTGTTTCGTAGCCCACGTAATTGTGTACCTGGAATCGAGCATTACTTTCGGGCCACTTGCGAATTTGTGATTTACGATGTTACTTTTTTCTCCCATTATGTCCCACCCTCCTTATAAATTTGAAATCAATCCCACAGTCTCTCGTGCGTTTATGCTTGATGCATTATTCATTTGATCTCGGACAAACTCTGGGGTCAGATATTAATTTCTTTCAATCCTATGAGAAATTAACATTTTTCTGTAGACTATGTACTCATTAGCCCTGGAACTTTTGCACATTGAATGTTTGATGCTACATTATAATTTTAATTTTCTCCTGCCAGTAATTATTAAATTTGATTTATTATTTATCTGTATTCACACTTCATAAACTGTAAATCTTATGAATCTTTTACACTATTTTGTCTGGGTTAAATAATTATATAATTTTCATTATATTTTCACTTTATTCATCAGTAGTACAATAATTCACTGAATAGAGTCAGAAAATCGTTTTAATAGTTAATTAACACAGTCTGACTTCATTAAAAAAATTGACAGCTCTATATTTTAAATTAAAAAATTATATATTTCCCGCCACACTAATTTTTTTTTTCAAACAAACACTGAATATTTCTTAATTAAAAAAAAAATCAAATCGTGTAGCTGTATTATTATTTTAAAAAAATATTATTGTTACAGTGAATTGAAATGTTAAAAAACAATACCAAATTAATAAGAGATTT